ACGTACTTAAGAAAAATATTCACTTCTGAAAGCTTCTACACATCTTTATCACAATACTTCCTTGGCTTAACCAGCCCAGCAATGTACACTTGTATTTCTGTTTCACAGCAATTAGTAAGATTTGCTAATTACACTGCTATGTGCTTAAAAACAATTGATTTCCCTTTGTAGCAGAAAACAATTTCCTGTTATGCCAATTCTCTTAATCTTCATCAGAAACAAACCCAGGCTGCCACTGCCAGTGATGTGTCATGTTCTTTTATTAAATCACGCTCTTCTGTACCCCAGTTATGTGTCCTGTGTTTATTATTCCTGATCACTGGATTGGATCACCTACAGCTGTTATGACTTGTACGTATTTTGCTTCACGTATTGTTGGCACAAGCAGAGTTATTGAAAAGCAACTCCCTTTGCTCAGCAGCTTGCATTTCCTTTGGCAGTGGGATGTGGGTATAGGGACAGCCCTGGACCTTTTACGCTTCATTTTGGCACGTGTAAAAAACTACTGGCAGATGAGGAAGTTCAGAGCCTAATATGGAAGAGTGTGGGCCAGCCCCTTGCAGCCAGCCCAGAGAACATGTACAAAACACACATTTCTGCTCACGTAAATGCACACGTTCTGTTTAGAGTTATATTGAAGGAGACCAGGCTCCTCAAATAAAAGAATTTTTTATGCCCAGGCTAAGCACCACTAGTGAAAGCAGAGTGTCAATATTCAATTCATTGTACTTAAGCCTGTCCTATTTACACATTCCTTTGCTTAGTGAGAAACTCAGCAGCTCAGGAGAGAGAGCAAATCGGTGTGGCCCAGGCAGATGAGCATGCAAAGGAATGTCCTGGATAACTTTGTATGGAAGATGGTGCTGGATGGCAACTCCCCAGGGCTTGAAACCAGACCTGAAGTTTTCCAACCCAAAGCTTACCTGAGTGAGAGAAGTGCCACGAGTTACACAAAGACTGTGTGTGACTCGAGGCCTCCTGGGACAGGCAGGGTTAGTGCACTGAAGACTGCCTTGTGATACCGGAAAGTCACATTATTCAGGAAAGGGAAAAAAAATTCCCACCTTTCCTCCACATGTCAAGCAAGATCTCTTTTATCATCTGGGCTGCAGATGAGAGCTCTGATCCTCTCCCCTCCTGCACAGAGACAATGCTTCAGTTCAGTTCTTCTCCTGCTAGGGCTGGGAGATGCTTAAAACTCCCTCTGATCTACTGTGATCAGCTTCATCCTTCTTCTTAGAGACATAAACCCCATATCCATGAAAAAAACCCCAAAACTAACAATGGTGTAGTTCCAGCAACATTTTTTAAGGTCAAAAATGGACTGATAGTGTGTATATTCACCACTCAGGTTCCTTGGTGATAGACCTGGTTTAACATTGAACACTTGTTCAGCTCAGTTCTTTGATACAAAATCACCTCAGATCATTGAAGGAAAGGACTGGTGAAACATGGAAGCAGAAAAAGCACCCAGCGAAGCCAGATATGTACTCTTCCAAGTGGGTAAATATACATGAATAAAACTAATCCCATCTCTGTAAACTGGAGTAAGTATTGCAAAACTACAAAAAAAAAAAAACAACCCACCAACCAACCAATCAGCCCCAATTACTTCTTCATTTATAGCAAGCTTTTAGAAATATCTCCCATACCGCAAACCTCCCTAGGAAGGAGCAACCAGCAATGCACTAGTTAACATTCTTGCTAGTGCATGTTGATTGTGAAAGGTTTAGAGAATAGGAATAGCTTTCTGTGAGGCTTTACACAGAAGGAGAGACAAAGAGGAGAGACTGTATGACCTGCCTTATCTGTGGAAATTCTCCCTCCAGAAGAAACAAGCAGGCTTTACAAAGTCAGATCTGAAAATGCCATTATTAACCCGGTGTCAGTTCTGGGGCATTACTTCAGTCTGGTAAGAGAGCACACAGACTTTATTTTGCACCAAATCTCCATGTTTGGGTTCTGATAAAGGTCATGGAAATATACATGCTTGTCCAGCAATGCTCCTGTACAGGGTTTTTTCAAGGCACTGGTGGAACAAGCTGAGTAGATATCTGTCTTAGCTAGTGACCTAACCCATAACAGTGTCCTTTAACGTGACATAAGAAGCCCTCTTGCCTTGCTGCAAAGCACCATGGGTGTGTCTATGTCACCTCAGTTGTCACCCACGCCAAATAACACATTTTTCTACAGTGGTGTCTTCCACCACATTTCAGTGTGGGGTGATGAGTGCATCTGAGATCCTTTCTCACAAAATCAATGACATTGGAAAAGTACTTGGTGACCCAGTTTTTATTTTTGTGGAATCAATGTTTGAGGGCTGGATTTTTCTGAAGTTTAGTCACATGAACAATTTTGGGGAAGAAAGTGTGGCAATATTCTTTAAATTTGACATTATTTAAAATAGAAATTCAATATAGACTGGATCAATGCAACAGCCAATCTCCTATCCCTCAGAGGCACAGGATGCTGAAGATGCCCCTTCTGTGTCACGGATCCGTTTCTTGGAGCAGCTTGTCCTGGGTCTATCCCACCGCGTTTAGCAAACCTCCCACATCATCTTTGGATCTTCATGGAATAAGGACAGTGGCTCCATGTCCTTTTTAAGGTGTGTGAATGCAGTACAATTTGACTGATCACCTGCCAGCACCCTTCCTTTTCACTTCTCAAGTGTCCCCTGCCCAGATTTAAAACTCCAGCACTACTTACCCACTGAGCTTTCCAAGGGGGCACAATCTATATGTACCACCTTCAGCATAAAGATGCCTCTCTACTGTGGCACAAATAACAACTGCCACATAAATGAGACTTCCGTGTTGAGTTATTTTACAAGAAAAGGCTTAGTAACTGGCTGCAGCCTGTATATCATTATCAGTTCCATCTAGGCACAGACCGAACCCGTGAGTCACAATTACTGTAAGACAAACGGTAACTTGTGCTTTAGAGCAGGTCAGCCTTGTAAGAAATGTCAGTGGCTGCCAGCACAACAGCAAAGCTCTGCAGCTGGCACCCCTGCCATCCTTCAAACATACACTTAGCAGGGGATTAGGCTCTGTTACACTGTCTGCATCATCTCTCTCACTCACTCACTCTTTCACGACCTTTTTTGTATCCTCTAGACCACACTGAATTACAACTTACTGTAAACACACTGGCGGCACTTCTGACCTTACACTTTTTGTGAGTCTGCTGTTCACTACCTTTCCTTTTTTAGCCTGTAGAAATCCATTCCCTATTTTGATTTTTGCCTGAATCACCAAGTGACATCTACAATTCACTTCCTCAGGCAAGAGCAAATACCCTCAAGTGCTAACAGCAATAAACACTGTGGGCTGCTGCCTGGCCCTGCAGTGACTGCAGCTTTTGTTTAAAGGCACCACAGGGTTCCTGGTTTACAACATCTTTCTTCATCCTTAAAAATTTTAAAAGTTTTTATTTACATCAAACATGTCACCTTTCCCCCAAAGAAAATCTCTGTTAAAATGGTTCCACAGGGTGTGTTAAACCTTTTACATAAATTAAAAAAAAAAAAAAATAAGAAGCAGGACCACAGATTTTACTTTAAAGGATCTCTTTCACAGTCCTTTTAGGGGCTTCTGAACAGGAGTTTTATGAATTTATAACAACATATATGTCAGGCAGACACTGGAATTCAAATTATTTTAACTCCAACTAAAGGCCTGTGTTTGAATGTCTGAATGCATTCCTTTGTGGCTCAGATTTCTAGAGTCTTAAAACTGCAAAGACTGTATCTTCATTATAAATATTCCATTTCTTAGTCATTCTGGTATCAAAGGACTGCTGAAGAGAAAACCTGCACAAGTGTGGTCCAGGAGTAAGCAGAAATCAGAGGAGTTTTGTTGCAAAGGTAGGGATGTGTACAGCCAAACATGTTTGCCAAGCCTGGCATCTCTGTTATGCATCTGGATATTTGGTACCAAAAATGCATAAACCCCAAATGAGTATTGGCATTGCTTAACTAGTGCCCACATAGCAATGTGATCTGTCTTGGGCCTAGTTGCTGAGGACCTATGAGACTTATTTACTGTTATGTAGGATATTTTTCTTGGTTTCCTTTCAATTCAATACAGAAATGCTGGGCTGGAAGGTTACTGCAGACCTCTGTATTTGCCTCGCTGGTTGTTATTGCTGATTTCTTAACTGTCAGAGTGGCTCACAAATGGCTGGCTTATTGGACTAGTTAGCTGAATGACTGTTAAAGAAAAAAACATTCTTTCACAATGAACCCTGCAATTGTTTCCTTGGAAACTCTTTTTCAAGCATTTGCTGAACACAATAAATATTTCCATGTGGATATACCAGCAATGCAGCGTACAAATAACCTGGTTGGAATCTGGCATGAGAATGGCTTTATGATTCATGAATGTCTGATTGATTTTTAGAAACATGGTGGCTATTTTCACTTAATGAACCCCTCAGAAAAAAAAAATAAAAAAAATAAAAAAGAAATAATTTCAATTCAAGTTTTACAATCTAGCCACTACAAGATCCAATAGAGCCAAAAAGCACCTTGTCTGCCTTCCCCATTTCTGCATTTCTAGCAGCTGACGGATCCCTCTCTTGAATGCCCTGAAAGTCTCTGAGATGGCTCATTTGTAGGAAGCAACTTCCATCCTGTTCCATGCAAAAACAACCATCAGTACTTTGCTAAAGTTGCACATCTCATGCATGTGCCAACACAAATACATCAGCTAGGAAGGAGAACCCTGGCTAAGGCAGGGCTTGGCTAAATTACCTGACCTTTTTCTCAGCTTGGCTCTGAAATGTATGTGAAATGTATCAAACCAACCCATTCTGGCTACCTGCTGTGCCCAAGGCCATTGGTCAGCACAAAGAAATTATTATTTAAATTAACACTCTGTAGTGTTTTGTAGTGTTTCCTTAAAACTTTAAATGCTAGTTAATGGTAGGGTACCCAAACATGATACAGGGAGTAAAGCACACCTAACATTTGGGGCAGCACATACTCAGGACAGTAGTTTAGCCCTGGAATCGTATTTATGCATCTGCAATTAGCCAAGCCAACTTTCCAACAGGATATATTCCCTAGGCTAACACCAAGGCCCATGTGCTTTCTTCAGTTACATTCTGTTACAACTGTTTAGTTCTTCTGAGCTTCCTTCTCTTCCTCTCAAAGAACATGGACAGGCAGCATTTTGAGCGTGACTCCACAAGAAACTTTAATTCTGTACATTTCTCCACATTGAAAGGAAGATTTAGCAAGAACCTGATTTCAATAAGATTTCTTTCCCACCTTTACATGAAGTGAAATAACCATAACTGCTGTTTTTTCATTGGTTTCCACCTCAAAAGATTCCAGTTCCCTTTTACAGCCCAGCAGAGCCTTTACTATTCTTGCACTAAGAAATTGATAAGGGCAGTTCTTGGAGAAAGAAAGGCCTTTTTAATGGCTCGTCCCTGGAGATGCTTGACTCCAAGTTCACTTTGAAGAATGAGCTCGTGGACTTCTTCAAAATTGCGGGCTGCTTGCTGAGGCACGAAAACTTTGCCGCAAGCTTTGTTATTGATCTGAAAAAGAGACGAGAAAACAAGAAAAAACCACAAGTTTAACTAGACTGTTTCCCACAATTTCATTTCCTGTATCCAATCCATCTTTTTACAAAAGGAAAAGGAGAAAGTGGAATAGTCTCTTTTCTCCAAACTCACACTTTCTAAGTAGAGGATAAAATTCTTCCTATCTCCTGTCCACCGTAAGATAAAACTCTGACTCACGGTACTCAAAAAATTTGGAGAAGTGGCCACAGGGAGTCTCAGTTTTGAAGACAGCAAGCAGCACGTGACTGTGCAATGCAGTGATCTTTTAATTTTAAAAACGTGACAGTCAGATAAGCTGCATAAAATGTCTGGTGGGAATCTTGGTTTGTACGTAGTTCTGGACAGCAATTTGGATTCTTTACAGCTAAGCAATGTCTTGCAGAGATTCAAATGGAAGATTTATTATTTTTAGAAAAATAGGGTTTAACTTATGTATGTTGCACTCATTGTTATATGTTGCACTCAACCCATGGCTCATTAATCTAACACTGACCACAAAGATCTCAACTACTCACTAAGTAACATTTTCCTGTTTGTGGCTGGTTTTCAGAGCAGCTTCCATGCTGGTTTTGCTTCAGTGGGGCAGAATCGTGTAAGTAAAGCAGAGTAAGTCCTTTGGTGGGAATCGCCTTAATTTATAAAATGGTTGTATAAATTCTTTCTGTCATCCAGTAAGAGCAGATAATGGAAACAGACTACACAGCCTGAGTACCTTTCTGGAGCTGGAATAAAATTAATTATTACAAAAGCTTTCAGATTTATATGGACTATTTTAAGTGGCATAATAAGAATGCCAATCACACATTTTAGAAAATGAAATAATTTGTATTTTTTTAATGCCATTTATCACATTACTTGCATAATAATCTGTGTAGGTACTGCAGATCTCTGAGCCCTAGGCATCATTCAAGGAGATTTCAATCTTCTAAAAGAAGCACGTTGCTTCATGCAGTTTGGACATAAAAATGGACACGACTTTGTTCTCATCTGGATTTTATCCAGGATATCTGTACGCAACATATGACAAATGAGAAAGACCTAGTTCACTTACCTAGTGTATTGTACTGTGTAGTGTATTGTATACCTAGTTTGTATTTTGTTGGTACTTTATTTTATTGAAAATAAAATAATTTGTGCAATTCTCTGAGAGAGGAAGTTAGGACAGATTTTTAAGGAACAAGATGAAGTCTCAAAAGCAGCAAAGATGAGCGACTTCTGTTTTTTGACTAGTCTTGAGAATAATTTGAAGCGATAATGCCAGTAGGCTTTTAACTACTCCTACATGCATTCATAATGTGGCATCATAAAAGGCTGGCTGTGTTAAACTTTGCCTTTAGCACCTGGTGTAAAATAAAATCCTTGAAAAACACATAGGAGCTAATTTTTAAAGCTTTTCTGAAAAATAAATACAAGCAGTTCTTTTTGACAGGACACTTCAGAGAAGAAATGCATTCCACAGGAAAAGGAAAACAGTAAAATCCAAACAGATACAGTTTTAGTGGGAATATAAAGCAAGCTTCTCAGCTTGCTGCTAGGACACACAGCCTGCAGTTCAAAGCTATGCCTGCCTAGTTAAAATGTCATTCACTGTCCTCCATCATGCAAATTAATATGTCCCAGTGGATGGATGTTGGCAGGGGGAAATTTTCCACAACTAGCTTATTTGGTGCTGTTCTCAACAGAAGAGCCAAGTGGTCTAAATCAGCTTGGTAAATAAATGACTGCTAGTGGTTGTGTTTTCCTAGAAAGGTCGAGAAGCCTGGGCGACCTGGCACTGTGTACCTTCCCACAGCACATCTCCACCTTCCCACAGCATGTCTCCTGATCTTCCCACACTACACTCTGGGACCAAAGCTCTTATCAAACAGCAGACTGCTTATGGCTGCACCATGTGTTTGAGCATGGCTTTCATTATATGGTAGGTATCATGAAGCATTTTAACACTATTCTTAAAGCAGGCAGCTGCAGATTTCATCACATGCTGTGTGTAACAAGCATCCTATTCACATATCCTTTTAGTCCAGGACTTAGGTTCTCAGCAGGAGAAATGCCTTCTGCTGTTCCTCCATCTCTGTCTCTATCTCACTAGACCAGAATAACCCTTGACATTTCCAGGTAAAAGTGCCAGCACAAGAAAATTGGGTGCTGGCAGCCTTGTTTCTCTGAAAGATCATGGCAAACTGCACGAGGAGAAATACACGAGTCTTGGGTCTTTTCTTTCCCCAAGGAAAGAAGCTGTTTTTTCTTCTCTTCTTTTCCCTTTTTTTTTTTTTTTTAATATTCAACATTCTATACTATGCCAGATCTGCAGGGAGCTAGTGTTAACTACAGAAGTTATAAAATTTGAAATGAAATCACAAAAGACTGAAAAATAAGCACCTTGAGGCTGCAGAGAGGAATTTTTAATTCAACCCAAATATTTTTTTACCATTGATGCATAATCCTTCTGAAAAGTTAGAAAGAAAATAAATATCTGTGCACTGTTAGGCACTCATATGCCAAAGCAAGGAAATTGACACCAAGTTTCTTTTTTAATTTATAAAAACATCAGTTATAAGCCCACATCTGCTAACAGTTCTGCACCACCTAGAAAATGTGAGGAATGCTAGTCAGAAATGTGTTTATAGGATGAAATGCACACTACATTCAGGTCAGATTTTTCAGAGCATTAGTTACATACAGTATTATTAAAAATACTTAACTTTGCAATAATATTTAGAGTAACAGATACTGTGCATACCCCGTGAATTTAAATGTCTTTCTTGTAGGCAATTTATATTGTTTCAGCCGAGGATACAGTGAGTTGGTTGCTTTTGCTGCTTTGGGTTAAATATGGAAAGACATAACTGCAGCACAGACAGGAAATAATGAAGTATTTTGTGTGAAGAGAAATAAACCCAGAATGTCTCAGCAGACAAATCCCTGGCAGCCTGAGGCAGTTTGATGGCTTGAGAAGAATAGGGTTGTGGCCCAAAGACTTGGTTTGACTGTACAGCCTTGTGAAAAGACATTGACTCTTTGCAACTAACCAATTCCTCTATATGGAGAGTGTTTCTTGGTTTAAAGAGGACAATTTATTTTTGCAGCCATATAAAAACCTTCAGTGTCCACAAGACTTCCCACATTCCGTGCACATTCACATTCCCTGCGCCCCCATATTTCTCTTTTGCCTTACTCTTACAGTAGAAAGCCATGCATGCTCTGTAGGCACTATTGCTAAGAATTATTCCCAGTTCAAAAAAGCAAGTTGTCTCTCTGGTATTCCATTCACTTGCTTTCTCAGAAGGCAGGTGTTTACCTACACCATATAATTCCATGAATATATGACTGAGAACCCAGGGGTTGTTTTCTCTCTTATTACAATAAGACTGTTACACAAGGCTATGGCTTTGACAAAGTCAACCAGGAAAAGAAAAAAAAAGTAATTTTCATAATGGCTATAGAAAGCAAAATTAATTTTTTTCTTGTTCCTTTTTATGAGAAGGAAATATTCATATCAGTGACATGTTTAGGCATTTTCATGTTTGGTTGTGTAGTCTTAAAAAAATTGTGTCCAGAGCTTTCCCTGTGTTGCTGAAGTTGTTATTTCAAAGATATATTTAATAACATGTTTGCTTTAACCACAACTGCAAAGATGTTTCTATAATTACACAATTTCTCATTCATGACTTCCTTATAAACGGAACACTGGAATTTAAGATGTCTGCTAGCTGTGCTTGGATGTGAAGGCTTATTTTGAGCTTGAGAGAAGTGATCATATCTCAGAGAAGATTTTTACTGTCAGAACTAAATGCTTATCACTTAAAGAAAAAAAGAGAGGGAAAGAAAGAGGAAAAAAGCAATTCACCCACAGAGACTATTAGGGTAAGTCTTCTATTAACCCCAGCTGGCAACTGAGTCCTTGTCCTTGGCTTAGAAAGATGACAATTGAAAATCTCCTTCAAAAAGACAGTCCTTGGTCTTTATTAAGTGTGTATGTTTAATGGTGGAAAAACTAGTGTTTTAACAGTATTTCTCATTCTGTTCAAATAAACTGATGGAGATATCTGGCAAGATGTGAAATTATTTGCAAAGATACTTTGATTAAGGAAATCTACAGCAACATGGCTTCCCCTAAGTTGAACCAATCTCTTTCCTACTCAAAAAACTCAGTTCAACAAAAACAACCCAACTGCTTTGCTCACTCCCCTAAACAGGCAAACAGAAAAAAATACAACTAAAATGCATTTCTTCTGTTTCTTTTACACACACAGAACATACAGTTTTACATGACCAAATGACGTTTCTTCTTAGGCTCCATTTCATTCAATATCCAGAAACACAGAAAGTGTTGAAGTGTTTAATTTAGTTTAGAACATTAAAGTTTAGAATGTTTCCACTCAAGATTATCCTTTGGGGAACAGTGAAAAGGGAAGGAGTCCTGCAGATCTAGTAGTATTCAACTATGTTAATTACTGACTATCACAATGCTTGAGCACGAAGAACTTGAAGGCAGGTGGAGCAGCAGTCAGTCAGTGAGAGTCAGCTGAGACACTGCTCAGGGATCCCACACCTTTAGCTCCAGGCATCCATTCCCTCTGTGCCCTGTCTAATGACCAAGTTTTATGATGCCTGGGAGCGTTCTGAACACATGCTAGTTAACTAGAGCCACAGGAAAGAAGACAGTAAACTACACTGTGCACCCGTTGGAAAACTGGAGGTTAAGTAAAGGTAGTTACATGTCCACTCTTCCACTGAGCAGCCAGCTCTTTCCCAGCCTCAAAGGGATTATAGTTCAATAAGAAATTGGAAGTTATACCATTTCCAAAGGCAGTTGGTTTTCTCAACCCCATTCCTGCAAATGTAGTCTCCTGACATGTGTCAGAAATTCAGCCCAAGGCAGATGGGAAACATCATTTGGTAAAAATCACAACTTAACCCAGCTTATGATTGGTTCTGCTAGGGAGCCATAGCACTACTGGTACCACAAGAAATATCATCTGATTATACATTTTTGTACAGGGCTGAGTTAATAAATGTACTGTCAGGCAAAAAATTTGAGCCTGTATTTTGATCCTAGTTTTGACAGTATCACCCTTGCCCATGGCTGTTCATTGGTCAAACATCCACAGGTTGAGTGACTGGTATGCAGTCACTCTGAAAGGTTTATATTTAGGGCATCTCTCTTCCAAACTCACTGTATCTTTTTGTTTAAGAAGCCATTTTAATTACTCAGCACAACTGTAATAGCAGCTTCTGTTTTGAACTTTCAGTGAACCATCTACTAAGGGAACTGACTTCCACAAGAGAAGAAATTCCATCACCCTCTGGGCTCATAACACATTGCTTGGCCACTACTGAGAACAAATCAAAATGCTCTTACCAGTACAGACATCTCCACAACATCTGATGGCTGAAGGTAATCTGGGTCTACCTTGGGCCAGGACTGATGCAGAACATCAACATCCCAGCGATGATGAGTACAAAGTTTATTCTGAATATGTGCCAAACCTGGAAAATGAAAACAGTGAAACATTCATCTGCATGGTAACCAGAACATTTGGTCTCTGGAATTTGTTTGACAAATTAGATCAGGATAAAGCTGACTTTAAAAGCAAGTGCCATAGGAGGAAATAACATTGTTTAGATTAGCATACAGCACATTATAAACAGAAAGATGCACATCTTTGAAGCACTTGTTTTATACCACGAGTAAGGATATTAACAATGTGGGCACACTTCAGATTTAAATTAACACTCTATAACTTTGCCAAGAGCACAAAAGACCACTGCTTATTATTTTACATTGTAATACTGCAACACAAGCTGACCTCTGCTTCTAAAAGTCAACTATAATACTGCATTTATTTTCAGTAATGCCACCAGTTTGATTAGAATTTTACTAACAATTGAGAATGATACACCATTATGACTTATTTTACCACTTGTAATATGCTGGGTAGTTTCTAAATTTGCAAGTCAAGATACTTGCAAGATTCTCTCTATTTTGTGAAATGTATGTTCTTACAAATTAAAGGTCATACAAAGGAATGCCTTGCACAGCTTGCTCTCCTTATGATTTTTACATTCTGAAACATTTTATCCTTTGATTTTTAAAAATTTCTAAAATGGCTAAATGTGATCTCCTTTTATTAAACTGGCTATGGTCTTACCAAGATAATTAATTCCTGATTTGTTTAAGTAATAGGAGAACAGGATGCAGGTCCTGAAGCTGCATTCTGTAACTGAATAGAAGCTCCTGAGTGGGATTTATGTTGCTGTTTACTGCAGCTGTATGACAAAATACAAAGATTTCATTTAACAAGGTGCTGTCAAATATCATCAGTATTGATGATGATTGCTCTTGCAATTCTCACAGAGCCAGGGGATTTGTAAATTCAAAGCATTCTCTGCACAGGAATAAGAACACAGACTAAAACTTTTTATAAGCACATGCTCTGTTCAGAACTGCAAATTTATGTGAAATCTCATCTGGTTTATGGAAATTCCAGCAAAAACATAAAGAAAACCCATCAACACAAGACTCACTGGTGAGACTGAGGCACTGAAGCTGTTCAAATAACATGACAGCAGCCATAGGCACACACCCAACCCATGCACAGTGCACACATCAGTTCAGCTCGTGGGATTGTTTGGACTAATACAGTGAGTAACAGCAAATAGGGACATAAAGAGCATGCAACTTCCTCCAGAAAAATCCACCACATTTTTGTCAGTGCTTTTTCAGACAAAATGCTTTGGTAAAATGACACACAGCTGTGCTATTTACTGAATGACTCAGAGAGGGACAGTGGGGAGGACCGATGGGAGCTGTTTCTAATGGCAAGCAAGAACATGCACATTTCCTAATGAAAACAACTATTTATTAGGTAAATAATTTATTAAAACAGTTCAGTGGCTCTTATTTTGTGTATTTTTTTTTTCTTTTGCACCAGTAGCTCAGAAATTGAGAGCAAAAGATAGGAACTCAAGCAGAAAAAAAATCTTGGTGTTGATGATTCATTATCACATTGACTGTAAAGAAAAAAGCTGTTAGATTCTTTCCTTTTTGGCTTTTGAACATTCAGATGACCTCATTTCTTTCCAACTGATCACATGCCTTGTGGCAGAAGCATTCACACTGGCCACTCCTTATTTTACTGTTAAAGAGAATTCTTCAAACTATTTAAAACCCACTTTCTGATATAAGAGTTTCTATCTACAAAAGCAAAACCAGGGTCACTTTTAATTCCTGTGGAGGCTGTCAGTCCTAATAAACCTACTAATAAAAAATAATTAAAATGTATTCTGAAGCAAAGTGTGAGTAAGCCTGGTGTCAATTTTTGCTTCATGTTCTTGCTGCAAAATGAACTATGAGCTCATCCATAGAAAAAGAGAGTAGAAAAGTCAACAGAACTAGTTTGAGAAAACAGTTTGACAGGAAACCAAAATGAAGGTTTTAGTTATGTTGCCTGTTTGGCTTCCTGCCTTAATTCACATTTTGTAAGCTGTAGAACACAGAAAATATAATGATTTGGTTTGTATTCTCAAAATTCAACACACTAAACCAGAAACTTCACCACCCTGGTCCAGAAAGGTGATGGTCCACTTGTGAGAACCTAGAGAGAACCTTTCTCTAGCCTTCCCACTCAATTCTGAGACATCAGAAAAAAAGCACTGTTTGATACATTAAAAATGGACCATTTCTGAAACTTTGATTGTGAAAACACGAAAAACCTATTTTATTGTCTTCTGTGTTAGAAAGCGCCTAGTGAAGTGCATTTTATGAAGTGGTGTGCATTCTGCATCGTATTTTTTGATGTATTTTGCTTTTATGGCTATAGACTATCTTGCAGATGCAGGACAGAAAGCTGAGTATATTTTTACTTACTGTATACTTTTTACTTATATGTATCCATCTGTACAGGACAGATCAAAGACAATACTTGTGCTCAGTCTGAAGCCCTGATCTTGCTACTGGATCTCCTTCAATGGACCTCTACCAACTAGCAAGCTAATATCAGAGCAAGGTTTCCCTAGCCAGTAACTCACAGCACTGAATACATTTTAAAACACCAAGTTAAATGAGTACTATAAATTAGTGAGTTGAGAGAAAGAGGGAACAGGACCAGTCTAACAACTTTTCAGCTCAGGGCAATGTTTTACTAGCATTACAGGAGTATTTCATAAGCATAATACTTCCCCTAAGGTGCTATTTGACAGGGCAAAGCAGATTCTCATTTTAAATGATTTAGATTTAAGAAGGAAGATGTGGGAGCAACTGTGTATCAGGAAGGTGTTAGGACAGCAAGGTAACACTAGTCTTACAGAAAAAAAGCACTGGAAAAATTATCTGTAAAATTCCAGTAATTGTGCAGCTACTTAGTAACAAAATAATGTAGGCCAGAGGAAAAGTTGTGATTATGAAGTAAATTGAGAAAAAGCTGGCCTGTGACAAGCCCTGGAACAGAGAGGTTAAAGCAGAGAAAGAAATGAAGATGGAAGTCTTAATGAGTGATAAAAGGAAGCTAATAAAAGCATTTTATTAATGAAACAATGGCAGTATCAGAGTTTAGGACTAGGGATTTTCGAACAGAAAATGTAAGATGATCAGAGGGGGAATTCTAAGATGACTGTGAGGGTGGATATCCAAGTACTTCTAATTTTTGAATTTAGTGGAAATGAAACAACAGAAATGTGTGTTAAGCAAAAATCCACCACACTAGTAGACAAAGCAGGAAAACTTTTTAAAAAGCTCAGATCAGGAGTATGTCAGGGCAAGTGGAGAGACATTTTGGATGAGTATCTACTCTCCTGTGCAGCCTCTTTCTGGCTCTGTTGATATGCTTTTTGCCATTTAATTAATCTCCCTATTTGACAGATTCAGGCAAGTTACATATCCAAAATACCTTTCTACAGCTCAGGAAGCCTATGTCTGTTAGTCGTATGTGAAACAGTCTACAATCTCAAAGAAATGGTAACAGCTGTCTCCAGACAGCTCTGAGAAAAGATGTTTTATACCACTGGTATAGTAGTACAGAAGTAAGATGTGAAAACCCTGGGTCACTGTAAGCTAACTCTAGGATTTGCTTGCAATCCAGCAAACTCCATTCAAATCCTTTTAATCTTCTTAAAACAATATCTTCCTCCATTTGAAAAACTTGCTCTCATTCATTTTATGTTATTACTCTTGGAGAAAAATAAAAATAAAAATTATACTTCAAATCATGTTTCTTATTGGATTTGTGCAACAGAGCTATTCTAGTGACAGTTAAAATATTGCTAAGGCAATGATACCATTAAAAATTCCAAAAATTATGTTTCATTTCAGTATTTCCTAAGATGTCCTTATCAAATGTGTACCTATCTTTCATGTGCCATCTCTAATAAAAAATTAGCAACTACAATAAGCAGTTTCATATCCTTGTCTGAACAGCAAAACACTGTACTACTACAAACAAACTCAAAAAAAAAGTCTCAAATGGTGTCTGTATATTCCTTAGATACAAGGTTTCAGGAAGGAAACTGATTTCCTCATCCTGTTAGTGTTCATAAACTGCCAAGATATCAGCCGGATGAACTCTTCCCACACTGAGGGGCTACGGTTGCTTTTTATGTTATTGAACGATAAACCAGTGCATTCACTGCACAGTTAACACCATCAGGCTGACACACCAAAATACCAAAAACTGTTCAGCCCCTATGGCAGGAGAAGACCTTCTTCACACACAAAGTATCATGGGTTGCTATTGTTCAGCTGCTGAAAGGTGAGGCACTTACAACATTCAAGCAGCTTCCATCAAAGAGCGGGGTCCACTGCTATAGGTGCAATTTATAGAACTAATATACAAACTCCTTTTCCTGACCAATTTACGAAAGAGGAAGCAGTGTTATCCTGACATTTAGATGCAAAGCCAAGGTACAAAAGGAGAGACTTCTGAGTGTGGATAGCTAAAGCACAGAGAAAACTAAACAGAGTATTAGGAGCCTTAATTTTCATATTGAAATTATTTAAAATAGTAAAGCATCATCACTTATACACAACAAAGTTTGATAAATTGGTTACATCAGATGGAACCAGAGTACAACTCAAAACTTGGGGAATCTTTAATATGAAATCTCAATCCCAGGACAGATCTGATAGATGGCTATTTCAAAATAATACAATATTCTTACCACAATGCAGCAGCTAAATGTACGCACATTCTCCTGATAAAATTGTTTAATAACTTCAGTATAATGCAATGATTATCATTCTAAAACATACTGTCATTTTCAAATTTAGTAAAAAATTCTTCATGCAATAATCAACACACATCAACACTTTTTTATGATTGCTGCACTGAATTGCAGTGCACATGTCTTTGGACCACACAAGTAAAATTTTATCTTTAAATGCAGACAGAGGCTGAGGACAATATACTTCCAATTTTTATATGCTTCCTTTTCATTCTTACATCAGAAAGAGATCTAGAAAATGCTTATAATTTTCATTGTCCAGTGATTTTAGTAGCAAGAAGACTTCCTCATCTAACATTCAAAATGCTACAGGATCAAGCTTCATGTTTGACAAATTGTAATTATGATACCCTAGTGCTCTTTGTCATTTTATCAACCATAGCTGATAATTCTGTATTTCCTAACATGTATTAGAATTCCAAGTTCAGAAGGCACTGTATATATAAGTAATTATCCTGGATCTCTTCTGCCTCCATCTCAGCCAATGTGGAAAAGAGTCATGCTAACTACTTTTATTATTGTTTTAATTAGATGGCACATCATAGTATAAGACCAGATGGATCATGTCAGATGTCACTCTTTATTCTAGACAGTTAAACTTCAATTAAGACATTTTAAAATCACTGGAAATGAAAACACATGCAAAAAACCCAACCCACTCTCCCTATCATATCTTGTTGTTTCCATAGGGTCTTCCTTGTTACTGCTTTGAACAAGAGTTGTCTTTCCTTAGCAATTAACATTTCAGGGCCATGAATAACACTGCAATATAATCAGTTTAGTAGCACTGCTCTGTAAACATCTGAATGCACAATGTTTTTTGGGACCATTGAAAATAAGGCCATTAAAACAGTATCCAAAAGCTAACATTAGGTCCAAAACCACACAGCAGTTTGTGGCCAGCCACAATGCAGAATATTTTCCTATCTTCGCACGTGCATCTTGGGACTTTTCCCAACAAAACTTAGAATCAGTTGCTAAACCCTGGCATGCACATACCTTATTTCACAGGCTTTACCTGTATCAGCACCACAGAACTCAGCCCATCTGGTATTCAGACCTGTACAATTGTGACAGGTCTTAGAAAAGATACCCTATCATTCCCGTTCTCCATGGCAGGTTAATTTTATAATGTTAATAATTATAATTTATAATTTTATAATAATTAATAATGGCATAGTGTCCCTCAGTCTCTGGAGCTAAAAAGATAAAAGAGTAGGATTTTTATTGAACACTCCTTTAGTGTTTTTAGTATGGAGCCCTCTGATATGGTTTCCTTTGCCTGAATTCCTGAAAGAAAATATTTGTAGTCCAAAGGCTCTTGACACAATTATTTAAAAAGGGAGTGTTTCTGTACTGGTGTTCAGCTTTTAATAATGCTATCCATATTTAGGAACAGTTAGCCGCTGGCATGAAGTCCTGTCTTGCATTTTTCTTTTCTATTTCTCTGCCTAGTTTCAAGAAATCCACCTCTGTATGCAAGGAAAAAGAAACCAAAGGCAGAAAAGAGAGACGTGGCAATGAAACAAAATTCAAATTTGTTTAACAATTATGACAGAAAGAGACAAGCTAGATAAAGAATTCATGTCACATGTACTGAGTTACAGACATTTTTGCAAATTTCTTGTCATTTTTCCTGGAACACCTATATGAAGTTTATAAATACCTTTCCACATCTCTGATGCAATGTGGGGAGCCATAGGTGCAACCATAATGCAGAGTGAAGCCAAAGCATCTTCAAATTCTGTGCTGTGGAGAACAAGAGACCGAGGAGCTTGCTGAGCAAAAAAACAAGGAAAAAGAAACAAACTATTAACATTCTGAGGTGGGGGGGAAAAGTAGTTTAATTAAGAAGAAAATTAAGTAATAAAACCTAAAATCAATGTTTATGCTAAGGAGAGTGTAATTTCACAATAAATTGGAAACTTATGAAAATGGAGAATTAAAATCACAACTCTTGATCATAGAGTGCTCTCTAACACTTAGAAGCTAATCCTAAAGTGGCTGATGAAGACCCTTGGGGGTCTTCTCTAGCACAGAACTCTGAACACGCACTCATGTGGACAACAGTGGCCCTCAAAATTAATTTTGAGTGCTGCCTTTTCTAGAAGTGCAATCTTAGGTAAAACCAGAACTATCTGAGAAGATGTGAAGCACCTGTATATGACAGTCAAACTGTGCTGAATGCAACATAGATTTTGCTGGGACAAGGTTCAGCTGTACAGGATCATAGAGTGGCTTCACTAAAGCTGAAATTAGTGACAAAGTGAGGTTTTAGAGCTGAAGGAAGCTTTGGGAATGAAAAGCATAGCAAAGTCTTTTACAGTTTTATGTTCTCATTATTTTAGTGAAGTGTCTGGCTTCTTTAGTATAGAAAATGTTGAACTTCTGGCAAAAGGTAACTTGACTGACAAAATTTGAACTTCATTTCCCCATTTAACTTAACTTACAGAAAACTTAAAAGATACAGCACTAAAAGTAATCAGATGAACTTCTTCTTTCTTTGCCTGTGTAAGAGATTACACACCATGGCAAATTCAGCTGCTGCATTTATTTTGTAATCTATCTCTCTAATGAAACAGCACAAAAAAATGTCAATACATGTCAGCTTATGAGCATTATTTGATGTGATGAACACCCATTCTCATCAATCAGAAAATTGTCCAAAAACAGTGATTTGCTTGACCACAAGCTTTGTCAGAGGGCATCTTATCACTTACAGTGCAAATTATATTGAGTAAGTTTTAGTAACTACTACCCACTTTAAATATTTAATCTATGCCCAACTCTACACTTCCTCCTTTTAACTGGGAGCAAAAGAGGAAGTGCTAGCATACTATGCAGAAACTTATTCTTCAAAGATACTGCACTGTCTTCTTTGCTTAAAAAATATATCAGTGTTCAGGTATCTGGCTGTCTGTAGGACACTGAGTTTTATTTTTTTTTAACATTCATTCCACCATCCATTAGCCCCAAATGCCTATGAGTCATTCAGTTTGAGATAAAGAAACGTGTGTTACCTTCCCAACACCATAAAGGGTGCCAGACTTAAGTTATCTCAGTACAGCACCTGTGCACAACCTACTTAACTTATTGTTAAGTTCCTTGATTTTGCCACTAAGTACCTTGGAATCCATAAGGTATAAAATGGTATTTCAATAAAGAAGCTAAAACTTCCAAAAATATATTTCAAAATTATATTTAATTTCTGGCCTATATCAGGTTACCATTACATGCCTGCAGGATTGCTCAACCAGATCTAAGAGTAGTAAAGAAAATAATGGTAATAGTTTACTATATTTCATCTATCGCTACTGGCTGACAAACAACATAATCTAAATAAAAAAATCTTAAGTTCAGCAGTGTAAGCTATCTTTGAGGACTATGTGTGATTTTCCTTGCAAAGAATAACCCTTTTAAAATCAGAATGTTTGGTAATTCTATTATGTAGTATTATACCTAGCTACCTATGCAACTTTGCTAAAATCAAGACAACAAAGAACAGAACTGAACAAAATGTATCCTCTTTAAATTACAGGATGCAGACAAAAACATTTTGTGGTGGATCTCATACCATCGAGCTCCTCCTGCAAAACTGTTTATATTTCAGGGTTACAGGGGTACTAGAACATGTGGCTTCTGAATTGAGTAACTCAACAACATTCTTGGCTTAGTAATATGTTTATGAAGTTAATGACTACAGAATGCTGGACCTGTAGTTCAGGCAGCTCCTGCTTTGTAGAAAGACTGACAGAAGTAGTGTCTGAGAGCAAAATACCTTTGTTAATATCACCTACTTACATGGAGTACATTTGTGAGGCTCATCAATCGGGAAATAGCTGCATTGAACAAATGATCCTTTGTGAAGTACTCGGTTACCTTGAATTAAAAGAAAAGGTCTGTCATTAATTACTTAAAATTCTCAAATTTGGAATACTGGGTTTTTAAATGAAAAACAATTAGTGATAATCAATTTCAATTTGTGAAATACGTGCCTCTTCTTATATGAAAATCACTTTGGTATGCCAATACATCATATGTGCAATCACATGTGTGTGTGTGGGAAATAAGAATCATATAAAAACTCAACTGATTAGCTTCCCTTCTATTTCAGGATTTAAAAAGCTTCAATCAATGGTATGAAAAATGTGCATTAGTCACCCTTTATTTCCTTTCATAAAATATCTTCCCTTTGCCCCTTGTCACCCCAGGACACCCCTACAAGGGACCTTCTCTCTTGTAAATCCATTTATACTGGTGAAAACTTGTTCATAGATTACAAGATTAGAATTAAAAATTTGTTAAATGATCTGGAATATCCCTTACAGCAGGGTTTAAAATGGCATAAGTTTTTATCCACAGGAAAATCCTTGAAGTTAATTTTGCAGGTATTTATGTTTCATTCTGAGTCTTGGATAATTGAATTGATACTGATCACAGCAGGAGACAACACGTAACAAGAGATGAACAACCACTTCAGTATTTTTTTCAAGGCTATGCTAATATATTTTCACCTGTGGCTTTTTTACATTCTGTATGAAACAGCAGGTGGGGTAATGAGGTATGAAGCAAACAGACCAAAGCTTTTGTTAGGGTAAACTACAGAACTCACCTACGGTTTTGTTACTTGAAATGGAATTACTTGAATCCCATATTAATAAACTTTAATGTCATAACATTTCATTCCTTAAATGAGGCATACATGCTTTAAGTAAGTCCTGTCCCACAAAATGTGTAGGTAGATACAATGATTTACATAGAGAATAATTCACTTTAAAAAAAATATCTACTCATCTGGGGAAAAAGCTTTTGGCTCTGTAAATCAAACATATGGCTTTCGCAAAAGAAGCAACTTATTTAGTCATTTAGAAACTATGCGTTTCTTTTAACCTCAGAAATCACCAGATTCTTCTGCTCCCAGATCCTTCTGGCTTCAGCCTTCTCTTTCTTATTCAGAAGCTCAGGATTGGGCATGGTTCCTGAAGTCCTTGCTTCAATAAGTTTGGTTACAAGTGCCCAGAGCCGTGTCTGCCATCTCTGAACACCAGGCATGGCATCAGCTGAGATTCATGAAAGATTTCAGAAACAAATGTCAGTTACAAGTAAAGAATTCAAAACTTCAAAGAAAAGCAGGAAGAGAACACTGGAGTTAAACATTTTTTAAAAAAACCCTGTGTATTTCAAATGAAAGGTATCAATGCAATTAAAAATGTCTTTACAAGTAATGCAGACTTGCTTTAATGGAAAAAAATCAGTAAGATAGAAGTATTTTTCTGCAACGACTTTGAAACAGATGTATATAGCAAGACTACAGCATAGAATATTTACTAAAATCTGTAAAATAACCCAATGTTATGTCAGTTTTAGAAAGCTCATTTTGTGTTTTAATGACTCCACAAAGGAGTTCTATGTGCTCTCATTTTCTGAAATCCTGGCAGAGTACAAACATATGTACAAGTCAGCATACACATTTTTTCAAATGGAGAAGTTTCTTTTCAAATTTGATTTTAGCAAGTATGTATACTTTTGTTGCTAGAGATGGTACTGTGCTAATGAGTACAGGCTCTGACCCTTGGTACCCTCTTTCCACACAGCTTAGTTTGGTATGGGGGACACTGTGAAGCTGTTGACCTTGACCCTGAAGCATCAGTCCTACTCCATGGCTGCTCACATCACAGGAGAGAATGACATGAGGCCCTGCCTTGAGGCCCACCACTGCAAGGACAAGGAATCTATTCTGAAGGGCAATCATCCAAAGGCTATCACATACAGTGGAGAGAAGGATCATGACAACTGAGAAACTACTATTTAACATTCTCTGAATGAAATAAATTCCTGTAATGGCTTTGTGTGAAAAAGTTTCGGTAGGAAGGAAGAATGGCTTCTCTGGGAAGCTTCTAGGAGCTTCTCCTGTGTCTGACAGAGCCAGTTGAGCCCAGGAAAAAGGGAGAGATGATGGGAAGGTGTAAATCTGATTTTACTTCTCATTACTCCAATTTTAATTGGTAATACATTAAATTAATTTCTCAGTCAAGTCTGTTTTGTCCATGGGAAATGCTGAGTGATCTTCTCACCCTTACCTTAACCCACAAGCCTTTTGTTGTTCTTTTGTCCCAGTCCAGTTGAAAAGCAAGGAGTGATAGAGCAGCTTGGTGGGCACCTGACATCCAGGCCAAGGTGAAACCCAACACAATCTGCATAATTTCTTTAATTTAAACATTCATAATTTTGTTATAATTAAAAAATTCAGACCAAAGTGTAAAAATATTTAAGAAATGCTTTTCAACTAACTTTTTATTTTCGTCTCCCCTGGAAATATCTTTAGGCTGCTAAAATTTCCTTTTGTTCACATTTTCCAGTACTTGTAACATGAGATGACGCCAAAATCTTTCTTTCTATTTCTGAAGTGGTAAGCAGGTTGGCTTGAATGACCAAATGCATTTTTGCTAGCATTATAACTGCATGTGCTTAGCTTTCTTACAAAATGTTTAATACATTTTTATTATACTCTTGTATACTTTGTGACTAAGATTTGGTACACACTATCCTCACAGTAATTTAATTATTCCATTTTCAAGATCAGAAAATACAGCAAAATGATTGTGCATCACCAAATTTGGGATGCAGCTGTTAAGGCTTGATTCTAAGTGATTCATTTTTTTAAGAGACCTTTTCAAATGCCTAGTTCCCTACTGTTGTGATTAGGTGGTGACAGAAAGCCAGCTGAGAACTCATAAAGCCCACTCCTCCAGTACATACAGTAGTGCAATAATATATAAAGGAACACAAATTGATATAAAGCGTGACAGACATAAATGAAATAAAGTTTAGTGCAGGCTGAACTAAGTGGCAAGAAGTTAACATGTGAAACAATGAAGAACTACACTTTGAAACCAATAATGGAGTGTTTTATTGAAGTCTTATGTGACAGAAAGGTGAAATCTAAATGAATGTGTAAGACTACATTAAAATGTATGAACCACAGTAGATAAAAGAAATTAAGACCTATCAATATGAGGAATTCCATGATAGGGGTAAATAAGTGCAAAGCAGAGTAATTCTTAACATTTAAGAAGTAAGCTCATAAAAATGTCATATCTAGAAATAATAATTATTAGGAACTCTGATTATCTTCTAATGAGATTCTTCTGAGAACTATTTCATAGTCCAGCTTACAAAAGCCATTGCATTTGTGTTAATAAATGGAAACAACAAAATAAAGTTGTATTTGTAATCTGGTATGATTAGAAAAAGAATATTATTTAAAGAAAAATAATTTTCAGTTAATCAATCATTGCTAATTAAAGAAAAGATAATGAGGTCCAAGTTTCCAGAAGAAAACACAACTTAAGAAGTAGTTTTCATATGTGCTTTTAGCTTATAAGAGGTAAGCTGCTTGCAATAATCTAGCAAGTTTGCCTCTTAGTGATGGCTTTGTGACCCTCCCCCCTCCAAAAGAAACAAGCAATAAAACCTGTTTATACTTTTTTGATTCATTGTTTTCCAAAACTTTGGCATCAAGAACTGTATTAGTTTTATGTTTAAAATATAATACTTAAGAAAAAAGAAACAAACCCACAACAAAACAAACTACAGAAACAACTTGACTTACTTTTAGCATCCCACAAAATGTCTTGTTCTGGAGGAGCAGCAAACAGAATATAAAGACGCAGGGTATCAATGCCATACTCTTTCACTATTTCCTCAGGGTCTATTCCATTGTGCTTAGATTTGCTCATTTTTTCCCAAGCAACCTGGAGCTTCTCACCAGTTTTTAGGTGAACTGGTTCACTTCCTAAATAATAAGACATATAAAAACCTACTAAACCAGATTTTGCTCACTTGTAACAGCAATTAATTTGGTTGCTTAAGCATGAGAAGAAACAACTATTGCTAGTGTTTTGGGGTTTTTTTTTTCCAAAATAGGTTCAAGAGGAATACCACCCATTCCAAACACTATTTTCCCTCCACAATTTTTTCTGTGTTAATGTTTTTAACTCCGGTAATATCCTAAAGCTTCCATCCCATCATGACAAAAAGTCTCCTACATTCCAGGTACATTTGGGAGCTGTACCTGGCATGCATCCTAAGTGCTGCCTTGACAGCTCCTGACATTTAAGCTGTTTTATAACCATGACATTTAAAACTTCCTAGATAAGTGTATTGATTAGATACAATTCTGACCTGTACTTAGTTTTTTCAAATACCAGATTTATAGGTTCCAATTGCAGTAAGTTATCCTGAAAAGAGTGTGCTTTCCCTTCCACAAATTTAGAGACAGAGTGGGGCATTTACACTGAAAAAGGTACAACTGAGTAAAACTCTCTGCTAAAAAAACCCCAATCTTTTCTAGAAGAATATAGGGTAGCAAAGGGTAGCAAAGCTTAAAAGGGTGGGTGGGTTGGTTGGTTGGTTGACTTTTAACTGTCTCACAGGGTTTGTATCCAGTGAAAACAAGGATGTATGAGAGGAATGCTTAAGAGAGGCAAATATGACCAAACCATTTTTGTTGCTGCAGGTGTCATAGCAATGACTGGTCCAGCTTATGCAGTGAAGGCTCTGCAAAGAGAATGAGCACTGTTTCCTGCAGGTTTTACATTCATAGTACCTACTGAATACACCTGCACCTGTGTTAGTTTTGCCATAATGTTTTTGTAGGTTGTCTGTTTGCTGGGACTAACTGGCTCCATTCAGCAGGCTGCTGAGCACTGTCTTAACAAAACTAACTTTTGATCTTTTGGACTACAGAAACAAGCACTGTTTCTGTGTTTGGATGCAATTAAAAGCTGCTGCATTAGTAGGATCTCTGTGCACTCTGCAATATGTGTGAATACAAAACTCACAGAAGTTTCTCTCCAGTTTACATATAAGGAGGATTCATTTTCTCTTCCAAATTTTCCCAGCACTGAACCAGTCCCTGGCTTCAGGGATGCACCTATGCTGATTTTCCCATGCAGTTTCTCTTACCAGTGAGATCGACCTCCTCTCTCTTCAAACACTGGCCTGTTGTTGTTAGTCTGAATGTTTGATTCTTGATAAGACCTTGAACCAAGAGCTTATGGAAAGGCTCCCTAAGGATGGAAAGAAAAAGAAACTTCTCTGTTGAAAAGAGCTGTCAAAAGCATACTTTATGATATGCCTCAGGTGTTGAGCCAATCAGGCACAATTTTTTAATGAAACAAGAATTTCAAGTTCACTATACATAAGTAACTGTCACCTTAGAAAGAGTACTTTGTGCTTTGATTCACGGTGGTTGGCTGCCAAGTCTAAATTATTTATCTGCATTCTGCTCACATTCTTGTACCCTGATTTAGTATTAAGTTATTCTAACATCACTTTTCAAATTAGCATATGGATAGTTCACAGAAGTTTCTTAGCCAACAGTACAATTTCCCTAACTTCAAGCTAAATCTCTTGTGTAAAAGCATTCAAGTACCTGGCCTCATTGTCTTACAAATATTTAGTTCTAGCTTCTCTGAGGAGCACAGGATTTTGAACAAATCAAAATGTTGTTGCACATTTCTTTCTATAAACAGATAAGACAGTTTCTCTAACATAAGTATTCACATGCCTTGTCCCTTTGCAGAACCAGCCAGGAATGCCCAGATGTATGAAAAAGTATGCTAGAAAAAGGCAATGCTGAAAATCTTGTATCTCAGTGCATGAGAGGAATTTTTTAGCACCTTACTTTTCTAGCAAAATTTACACCAGGGAGAGTAAACTCCCATAAATGAGTGTATGACAGGGCTAAAGAGAGCCTTGAAAGGCAGTAGTGCACTCAGCAAGAAATAAAGTCTAAGTAAACACTGCTCTGGTTGACACACTATTGTGGCCCCCTCCTTTAATGATCTTGCATTTCTAACGCATTGAGTCACACATCTGTCACTGTTTTCACTGAAAAAAAAAGGCAACAAAATTAATCTCTAAAGCCTTTTGGTTGCCACTCAGAGAACAGGAAAGTAAGGCAGTTCTAACACAGCTTTCAGAATAGCAGGGTCCAGGGAAGGAGGTATGGGGCCAGTCCCAGAAAGCATTTACAGTCTGGAAATGTTATTCTGGGGCCCTCCAACACGGGGACATCAGTGACCATCATGTTGGAGGACATGATCATCACCACTGCTTAATACTGACTTGCACCTCCTAATGCTGACGTGTGCACAACATAAACAATCTGAATTTTCTACACTTTTACCTAATGAAACCTCAAACGTGTACAAAACAACTTATGTAAAAAGGATGCATTATTCCTATTAACTTTTTTTTTAAAAAAAAGCCAGAGTATACCCATCTAAAAAAGAAGTAGTAAAACCAGAGTTCCACATTTTATTTCATGTGCACAAAAAAGTAATAATCCAAAACATGACTCACTGTTAGGGAGTTAATACAGTATTTTACATTATTAAGAAATATAAATTACATGACAATTTATCTCATTATTTAAAACAAAGTAATTCAATAATCCAATTGAAGTATTATTAAATCATATAACAATTAGGCATGTTTCTACCATATTAAATCAGGTATCTTCCAAGAACTAGTCTTTAAACACTTCTGATGACTCTGAAGTAAGAAGGCATTTGAAAACAAAGCTACAAACTGGGAGAGAAGGTTACAGGCTTCATTTTATATCTTTACCATGTTCAAGTTTGAACATGAGTTTCCTTCTTTGCATATTTTGTATACTTATAAATATTGTACAAGTACTGGCACATATTGATGAATCACTCAGTCACAAAGAAGTATGAGTCTCTGCCACGCCACCTGGTTTTATCAACAATGTTAAGTAAGAGCAACAACTCAAGAATCTCTCTAAATATTTTGTAGACAATACTTCAGAGGTTGACTGAAGAATCTTGTTGTTTAGAAGTAAAGGAACTTAAGGGAATTTAAGTCAAATTTAGACAGTGAAACCAAGAAAAACTATTTTAAAAATAGGATGCAAAAATAATCCAAAAAATAAAAAAATATTATAAATTATCCAAGCGAATTAGAAGGTAAAATTCTGGAACAAAAACTTTGTAACCCTATCAACAACAATGGTGGGAAAATGCTTCAGGATTTAATGGTTTATGATAAATTTCTTCTGTCTCCACAAACTAGAGACATTACACCACAGAAAAAAAAAAAAATTACCTCCCTATCATTCATACTTCAGTCTGTTTAAGATCTCAAACAGTTATTAAAATAGCTACACTTCCTGCTATCTAAAGTAAAGCTAATGAGGTAGCCAGATCATCCAAATCAGATAGGGTTCTCCACTGGAAGTGATTTCTCAAGGAACACTTATTTTTAATGACAAAGAGTTAGTTCAGATCATATGCCAAGTTACTAAAAACTGAATGCAGGAACAAGCATTTCTTATTTTTGTTTATGCTGACAGAGGCTACAAAAATGCAATACAAAATACATTACCAAGTATGGGGAAAAAAACCCCCAACCACGTGTTCCTAGTGGGAGACCGCAGGAGTATGGAGACATGCCCAAAATGAGAAAGCCAGAGCCCATCTGCTAAACACAGGGCTCTAAACCAAACTGAGCCCTGCACTGAATGCACAGTGATTTTGACAGTGTTGTGATGGCTCCATCTCATGTTCACATGCAGAGTTACACTTGAATTCATGTTAATAAAACTGCACAGCTTGAACGTTCCCCTTCAAAGGCAGGGATGCACTTCTTGGTTGTGTAAGGGAACTTCCAAGGGGCTGTGGCACAGCAGGGATGATGCAATTCTGACCTAAATACTGCAGCACCTGGTCATGGCATCATAAATAACTCCTGATCCAAAACACCAAGAATAATGAAATTAAGCCATTTTCAGACACACTGGCATTTCTGGCACACTAGAGGTGTCTGGAGTTCCTTTGAATGCTTTGTCATGCTTCAGATTGTAGGTATAATGGAATGGGATGGGCCTTCACCTGCCTGTGAGGTTCCTTTGTGCTCATGCTGGAGAATCCACACTGAGACCTTGCCCATATTATAGCTTTTGATCATGTTGTATGTCCCAGCTGCAAAGTGTGCCTGACACCTCTGAGAAGGATCAGCTGTACCATGAAGTCTGTAATCCATCTTTGCCTTTCTCTAATGCTCACAGACAGATTCATCTCTGTGAGAGACCAATCTCTCTGTATAGGACCATGCAATGGATGGTAGGGCAAGCATGACAGACAGATCAGTAATTTCTGCTCAGTGCCTTGTTCTCGCACTCTTTGCTTTTGTCTGTGCAGGGTGAGCATCAGGACTTTCAATCCCAGTACAAATGACCTGGCTGGAAGAACTCTGTGGAGCCTGCCATAGTGATAAAATAGTGAATTCAGAAGAAGGGACAGCCCTAGCAAGGGAGCTCACTGCATGTATTTGGACCCTGCACCTTTAGAAAGGCTGAGAGAACCCAAGTGAAGAGAAGACTAGATCAGCTGCTATCAGCCGAGTCCAGGGGGCTGTAAAACCTGCTGTTAGATGCAGCTATGAAACCTTGTGGAGGTGACTGAAGGATGTGGAAGCTGATAATTTTAGGCAATAAAAAAAAAGACAAAACAATATTGAATATTCAAGATTACACACAATTAACAACTGAGTGCTTTTTGCTTAAAATCAGCACTAGTGATAAGGTCCTAAATGAATGCAGAGGAGCTGCAACATCATTCCTTCACAGAACAAGCTATTTCTGTCACACACATATCTTCTTTTATTCTGTAACTCAGCTATGTGAAAAATTGTGCCTTCTTACTCAGCAGATTTTCCCTCTATCAGAGTCAAATCTGCTGACTTAATGGCAACAATAAACTTTTTTATTACTTTATAATCCTTCAGGGAGAATGTGCTAGATTCCATTTCCAATTATTCATCAGACAGAACTGGTTACTGAAGTGTAGGGCAGAACCAAATTCTATGTAACGCGTACTTGCACAGCTGAGCAGGTGTAACCGAGAGTGTCAGCACACGCCTGCCATGGTGGATTAAGCTGGAACAGAGGAGGAGTTTTCTGGCCCCAGCTGCCTACCTGGCCCATCTCCCAGCAGTGGTCACAGCTGGGAGGGCTTGCTGCCTTCTGAATTATTTATAGAACCAATGCATTTTACAGACCAGACTGCTAGAACAAATTGACATCAATTTGGGCTTAACCTGATATCACATGTATGAATACCCAGAGGGTACCACTTATTCTGCCTTGTCATTACTGAGAAATTGAGCAGCATTTCTTTTCCACTGTCTCCAGTCCAATGCATTAAAGAATAAAAGACCATGCCTCATATTTAGGGGATATTTAAGCTATACTGACACCTTTACAATTTTAAATGCCTACAAACACTGCATTTTCAATGAGGGCATGTGTGTCTGTAAATGCCTATTTCATACATTTTGCCTATAATATTTCTGTAGCAATCATTACGCCATATTTGGAAAGACTGCTTTGAAAATTCAAACTACAGCAATTTTGATTTCTGTTTTCAACCATATTACTGTATTAATAACCATTAGTACATAATTAAAGACTATCCAGAAATATTTCAGTGGATTTGAAAGCCAGAGGAGAGGAGCTAAACAACGAAAATTTCCATAAAGAAAATATATCAAAATGAAAAACTACTACAGATAAGTAGGGGAATCATAAAAATTAAGGATGCTAGATGACACTTTAAATGGTGGCAGCTCTTGTTAACTGAGATATAACAATTTAATTTTTTTAATTAGTGAAAAAGACCTAATCTACTAGAGAAAGATAGAAAATGCACAAGAGGGCAGTGTTTTTTAACATTTTAGTGTTTTCCCTCAGAGCTGTGGGCTTTGACATCATGACTTCGAGCTTCCTAACAATAAGTGTGTTGTTTCTAATTACACTTTGCAGATCTTTCAGACCTGCCCTTGAGCAGTTCAAACAAGACTGAGCAAAAGGGGCTTCTGATTAACATTAAAAAATTTAAAATAGATGGTAATATTTATAAAGGAGTTATGACTTCTAAATTAAACCAAAATCCTAATTTGACTTCATGACTTCAAAACACCTAATGCTTTACCTTGCAAAGAGCTAAAGCAACTGAACAATTTTGTGCATGATGATGAATTTGTTACAGTCATCTTGCAGTCCGAGCACATGTCTAAGCAGTTCATACACCCGGCCCTCAGGGCAATGCTGTAACAGATCTTCATATGTGCAACAGTTCTTGAGATCGTATATCTCAAGTGCCAAAGGAATTCTCCACAGTCTTGCAAACTGCTTCTACAGAAAGCAATTTCGATTTTCTTCTGCCATTGTCACTAGACATAGTCAGTGCTTCTTAAGGATTTTTTTTTTCATTGAAGGTAGAGTTTTCTTCTGCAATTTACCATATTTAGACAAGGCTACACTACACAGCTTTTGTGCTACTGCTCTGACACACCAGAGTATGAACAAAACACATTCCAAAGTAATGCAGCTACAGAATCACATAGTCCTTAGAATAATGCAGGTTGGAAAGGACCTTAGGAAGTCATTTGGTCAAATCCTTTTTCTCACATCAGATTGTTCAGGGCCCTGTCCAGCTGCATTTTGAAAATATGTAATGACAGAGATGTCACAATGTCTCAAGTCAAACACTTCCAGTCTCATCACCTTCCCTGCCAAAATATACTCCTTCTGTCCAGCTGAACCTTGCTGCAATCTGTGACTTACTCCTTTCCTTTCTCCGTACATCTCTGAGAAGAGTCTAGTTCTATCTTCTCTATAAATCTCCTTTAGGTAGCAGTAGATAGCAATTAGATTTCCTCCTTAGCCTTCTCTTCTCCATGGGGAACACACTCAACTCCCTTAGCCTCTTCTTGTGTGTCATGTGCTCCAACCCCTGACTATCGTTGTGCTCCTCCACTAGATCCTCTTCAGTTTGACAGTGTACTGCACACTGGGGTAAGGGCCTCAAAACCAGACACAGTATTCCAGTTGTTCCTGAATGATGAACAGAGATAACTAAAGCTGGACATGGTTTTCCAAGCAGAGTATACTGTCATGCCAGCTGCTGACCCACCTCTAACTTGGTGTTCATCAGGATCCCTAAGCCCTTCTCTGCTGCAATCCTCCCCACATAGATGGCACAGCCCCAGCTGCTCTGTTCAAGTCATGGTAAAAGATATGCACAGCTCTCTCCTCATCCACAGATGGAATCACTTCACCACAGAAGGAAAGCAGATTAAGTAGGGTGTAATTTCCTCTTGGTAAATCCATGGTGGCCACCTTGTCACCTTGTCTTTCATGCCTGGAACTTGCATGTGTCTGGTTTACTTAAGTGAACCCTAACTCAGTCCTACTCCACAATGGGCAGTATCTCTTGCCTTCAAACTTTCCTACTAAGCAGAGACCTTGACAACAAAAGCCAAGGTAAAGACTTTCCTTTCCACTTAGGCTCTTGGTTGGATTTTGCATCAGGCCAGTGTCTTCCTTGGTGTTCTTTTAAATGTTTGTCCAGAAGTTATTCTTACTATCTTCAAATTCTTCACCAGTTTCAGTATCTGATGAGTTATGACCTTTCCATAATCCATATTGCCTATCCAGTAAATGCTTCTACATTTCTCCAGGGGTAGCCCATCCTTATTTCCACTTCCCTTGCACTTATTTTGGTCTTCTTAAGGTGACACAGGAGGTCCCTTTTTAGTCCAGCTGGCCTCTTTCCATGCCTTTTTTTCTTGCACATCAAAGTGAACCACTTACTTTGCAAGAAAATCTCCCCTGCTCTGTGATCTCACTTTATATTGACAATACTTCAGCCACTAATATGGTTAATGTAATTTTGGAAGGCTAAAGAATTTGACTAGCAAAAGAACATTTTGCTGCTGTGTGTTACAGCTCCACTAGATGGCTGATGGATTAGGATTGTAAAATCTTTTGTAGGATTAATAGACCTGAAATTGCTTGCAAGAGAAAGGTTTAGATTTCTCTGCTTGAAGGCATAGCAGCTCTGAGAGGGTCTGCTTTGAAAGGCCCACTCTGAGAGAGAAGAAACAGCCTTCCTGCTGCAGCTACACAAGCTGCAGAAACAAAAGTGAAACACAGATACACAAATCATCTACATCCAGTATTTCAAACTCAGCTTTCACTACAAACTATTGCACAGCCAAAAATGAGTTATGAAAACACATTGACTATTTTCATCAAAATAAAAAAACCTTGGGGAAAACATTCTGCTAGCCGCAGTAACTTGTCCATCTTTTTCTGGCTCACAGCTACTTGAATTCTAGTTTTGTAGCAATACTACAGCATTCAAATGAGTCCAGTGACATATATAGTTAGGCTCCTCTTTTACATCAAGATTTTAGAGGGGATACTTGTAAAGAATGAATTTATATGAGCTGTGGCTGAAAAATTACTGAGCAGTTCTTCTCATGGGGCCATTTATTTGTACTCTCCAAGCTGAGAGTGGCATTCTAGAGTATAAAAGAGCTGAATTTCAGTGGAAATGGGGATGTTAAGCTCAGAACCTATCTGAGAGGACAAAGGACAGAACAACAGATGACTCACCATCTTCGATCAAACTTTACCTCTAACCAAAACAGAGAGCAGTTGAATCAGGCTATAGCAGCAGCATCAGCAAGAGTAATTATAAGTAATTATATAAAATTCATTAAACAAAAAATAAATTGACATAAGATAAATATAATGCTTTTGCCTATCAAGAAGTGTTTTGTACTTCTCAGCTCCAATAATACAGTAACTTAAAAGAGTGCTTTTTCTTTTTACATATGCATGGTTCCACTGAAATTAATGCTGGTAGGAAGTTACCTAATTTGAAATAATAGCACTACACAGAATGCCTGAAGTTACTAGTTTGTGCATGCTTTTGCAGGCTGGAAATCTACAGAAGTGTTTTATCACTTGCTCTGAGCCAGTTAATACTCATGAAATAAAAACATTTGTATGAACACATACAGGAAGTACAACTCACTGTGAGAAACCAAGTACTGACAAAGCAGAAAAATTCAGGCTTATTCAATGTAATGCTCAACTGTCACAATAATTTCCAGTAATACTCGTGGAAGTCAAATGAAATAAGAATGAATTTAGTAGAAATATATAAGGCTTACTTATGTTTTGTCATCTTTAGATCATGGCAAAAATGGCTGAAGAATCTTGCATAGAATAAGTGCATAACTGCATGCTCCTTTCCTCCGATGTACAAATCCACAGGCATCCAGTAGTCTGCTAAGTCACTATTAAATGGCCTGAAAAAACACAATTACAGAAAAAAACCCAATGTTGAAAAGAAAGACCAGCACTACTAAAGTAGCTCACCATCCTTGACTGGACGACACTGTTTACTGAGAGCAATACATGTGCAATAAAACGTTCATTTTGCTATCAGATCCTTTTTTTTTTAAGAAGTGAAATGTTAATTGTAGACAAAAATCTAATTTCCACTTACATGTAGATCCACAAAAGGATTATTTTTCTATATTTCAGGTAAGAAATTACCTGAGAAAGCAATGAAAACACTTGACGGCTCTTTAAAATTTTTTTTTGCAAATGTTTGTGACCAGCTTTAAATTTTTTTGGTATTTATCACGCCTTATATAGAAAAGACATGACCATTTAGAAACAGTTGATTGTTTTAATCGATGGTTTGCATTGTTGCCATTAGGGGGCAATAATGCAGTTTAAGGCTGTGGAACCGTTTTTAGAGTGAGATGGGTCACAGCACTCCAGTTGAAGGATGAAATGACAGTAAATTTGTTATTTACAGCATATTTACCATGTCGTTGGAGGTCACCTGAATGGTTTCTCAGAATTGCTTATTGCTTCATTACATATTTCCATGTCTCCTGTAGTGGGCCCACAAAATACCATTTGTACAGAAGTTCTTCTCTAATGTAGGCTTCAAGCCTTGGCTCTAACAAACCTACTTGTTTTGTCAGTCTGTCTGATTATTCCATCCATAATTTTTCTCACAGTGACACTTTCTTCCTCACAGATGAGCCCAGAAGCAAATCATGGATCTGGGATTCATGTATTTGGGGGAACAAATCAAACCTAACTTGCTCATAGGGCTCAAGAATCAACAGAGTAATTCTCCTGAACTGTAGACCAGTGAAATATGGTTTATGGAAATGAAGGGTATACATATGTGTAGCTTAGTTAAAAGAACTAACTAAATAAATCAAATGCAGGCAGCAATTTCGTGCAGAAGTCCATAGAAATGTTCTCATTTCAGTGTAAAACAGATTAGACTACATTAAGCTGTTACTTTGACAGTTGGATGTTACATCTGACTATTTCTTCTTCAGCTTCTGGAAAAGTCCCTCTCGCCCACACACAAAAAATACTTCAAACTGTCATGGAGAGGAAGCAATCTGCCTAACTCAGTGATAGTAATAATATATTCATGCTATCACTAGAAAATAATTAAAATTGGCATGAAAAAAAAGTGTTCACAGAAGATTTTTCTCTAGTTTAACCAAACTAGTGCTACCGATACAAAAAAAAAATTGGCCCAGCAATATTAAGTCACTGAGTACATGTAGTATGTTCCCAGATACTGCTCTGAACAATAAACAAACAAATACATGCCCAAGCAGCCCATCAGTGGTATCAATGTTTTAAAATTCAATCCTTCCTGCCTTCCTCAGACTACATAGTAGGGATGTTGCACTAATTCCTCTTTGGAAAAAAAACAGTGCTATCAAGCAGCGCTACTACAGGCAGACTACAAAGCAGAAAAACAGTTAAATAATTACATCTGTCTTCCCACACTTTCCATGCTGCAGACACTAGTCCACAGCATATGAAAAATCTCCTTTCATTAATTATGCATGTAGTGGAAGTGCTGACACAGCAGGAGATTGCTGTGATGCCTCTTCAATTGAGGTCTGCGTGCAAGGAAACGGCAAGAGTCACCAGAATTCAAAAGAAGAGAAGTGAAGATGTCAGACTTGGCAGCTGGATATTACACTGGACTATTCCTCTGTGGAACAGCACTGCCTGTCCACACACTGAACTACTCAGTGCATTGCCAGGAAGGGTACATTACATGCAATTTACCAGTCTCAGAGTCATGGCAGGCTGTCATTCCTGATGGTACCCCCCACTAAGGACTTCAGCTCCTCAGCTGAAGATTTTCTCTGTGCCCTGCCCCATAATTCCTGTTCATGCAAATTTCTGCTCATTGCCTTGTAGTTCCTGTGCTTACATAGTTGTGTTTATACATCTTGTTCTTCTAGATCTTCTGACACAGGAGCAATCAAAGACCACATTTTTGGACTAGCTCCATATATTGTCCTGGTTCTGGCTGTGATAGAGTTTTTTCTCTGCTGAATAACTGGTACAGTGCTGTGCTTTGAATTCAGTATGAGAATAATATGGGTAACACACAGATATTCTGGTTGCTGCTGAGCATAAACCAAGGACTTCTTGGTCTCTCATGCTCTGCCAGAGAGCACATGCACAAAGAAGCTGGGAGGAAGCTCAGCCAGGAAGGCTGACCCAGACTGGTCAAAGGGATATTCCATACCATAGACTGTCATGCCCAGTATATAAACTGGGAGAGTTGGCTGGGAGATGCCAATTGCTGCTAAGGGATGGGCTGGGCAGTGGTCAGCAGGTGGTGAGCAATTATACAGTGCAGAGCTTATTTTCCCTTGGTTTTCTCTCTCTCTCTCTCCCTCCCCCTCCTTGTTATTATCACCACAATATTTTACTTTGTTTCAGTTATTAAACTGTTGTTATCCAAGCCATGAATTTTACTTTTTTTTTCCCCCCCTCCTCCCGATTGTCCCCAGCCCACGGGGTGTGTGTGGGGAGCGGGCAAGCAGCTGTGTGGTAATGAACCGCCAACTGGTGTTAAACCACACCACCTACACTGTGCTGTGTTCAGGCCCAGAGGGCAGGCACATAACGAGGACAGTGCAGGGATTTACACTGCCAGTAGACTGCAGCTAGAAGCTGGAAGCACCTGAGTGTGTGGCCTCTTGGCTCCCTTCTCTTCTGTGTAGCAGGCTTGCCCCCAGCGGCCCTGCGCCTACAGCTCTCACCTGTCTGTGTTGTGAGGGTCCGTGTACCTCAGGTAGTACCAAGCAGAATCAACAAATGTATCCATGGTATCGACTTCTCGCCATGCTGCTGCCTTGCACCTGAGCAAGAGAGGAGAAAACCTTTCAGGTATGTGACAAGCTTGAAAAAAACCCCCAAACAAACATGGACAGAAGGGCTACATAGACACTTAGACTGAAAATTGAACAGTCTGAAGAGAGACACATTCAGAGAAAATTCAACAACAGTAACAGTGACTTTTTCCCTCTCCTTCCCAAGACACAGCAAAAGCAAACCGAAAAGAAGCCTCAACAGCCATCACATCCAGCAATAGCAGAAGATGGCACCACGCTGGACAGCCCTCTCAATCTTGGAATTTTTTGGAATTGCCATTTTGAAAGATACAAAGCACAGACGAGCGTACATTGCCATACAGTTAATGGGTACTGAATATAGATCACACTCGCTAGGTACCAGCATGTTTAGCAGAAAGGTCAGGTGGTTGCCTCTCACTGATTGTCTGTACAAAATGGCCTTTGCAGATTCCATTTATTATCTCTAGAAAAAATTAACTTAGTTTAATTTCAGCTTTCACTGAGATCAAATCTCTTCTAGACCTTGTAGCACAATTTTAATTTGTGATTACAGCAAATTGATTTTTGCTTGTAATTGTATTGGCAGCCCTAAGGAACAGTTTCAAAATAGATTTTAGAATCTCATGTTACTTTCTGTTAATTTGTCCTTGAATATTCATTGTTTGTAGGAGTCAATAATCACATTTAATAAACTTCCAGTTATTGTAAATGATCCCCCTTAAAACTCTTACTATTAAAACAATGGGATTATTCTAATGTCAATGAAATTTTGAAATCTTGTACACACTTGTACATATGTATATATTATGTATACATATACATAAATGTATATGTATACATAATAAATGGGGACTGGCTATTTTGTACTTACTAACTCCATATTTAGTCTCTGATCAGTCTTCATGAGTGAGCTGCAACATGTATTTCTGCTTGCCTGCCTGATACTTCAGCTTGGCTTGCCAAGACAAGTTCACAAGAGCATCACTGCTTAACATTTTCCTTCATTCTGTCTCTGTACCTGGTCCTCTTCTACATGCAAGTTTTTTCTCCAATGAGAATAATGTAATAAAGGAATTTTACTTCTAACTGATTTTTAGTGCAGAATAATAATTTTATTAAACTGCACACATAAGGAAAGACTTGGCCAATGTAAAAGAATGGCTTTTCTGTCAAAAGCAAGAATACTTTACAGTCACTGAACCATAATTACATCTGTTTCATGCCTCTGTGCTAAATGGACATGGCTCACTGACACAGAGACAGTATGGGCATCTTTCAGAGTTTGTATAATTTATATCAATATTGTGATTACAGACACAATACTGTAATCTCATTAGACAATCTTCAGATGACTAACACAATTACCTGGACTAGTGTAACAAAGAATAACTTGGGCATCTCCTCCCATTTATGATTGTTAACATTATTGTCATTCAAATACTCAGACTTTTGTATCCTTCCATCTGGCTTTCTTTATTAATTCTAGATATTAAACAAAACTAATAAAAAAACCTTATAACTGGAGGGAAGAACTAAAGGAATGGATGATGTAAGTTCTCCGAGAAAGGAAAAACAAGGATGACTGCACACAAAAGTAATAGCTCAAATGATTGGAAACTGTAGCAAGCATGGATGAGCAATACTGATGATAGCTGTCAAATAGGTGAGAATTAGGAAGACAAATAAAGATGAGAATTGAAAAAAAAAGTTAATTTCAGTAAGCTACCACATTTTGGGCTAAGAAAGTAATCCTGTGTGACTTTATTTCTGACTAAACAAATGCCTTTGATTAACTTCTATGTAGTGCAGCCACAATAACCAATCAGAATCGTAAGGATTTGCTATACATCACAAGTATATGTTATTGCCTGGTAAACAACAAAATAATTTTTAACTAAGGTTGTGGGGGAAGCCAAGAGTGCCTTTCACACAGTGACTTTCAGTCACAACAGAAAAATTTCTCAATTGAAATTAGGAATTGTAGACCAAGGCATTTCTGGGGTTTTTACTAAACCTGTGGATCATATTCAGTAAGGCTTCACTGCAAAGGTCACACTTTAAAATACACTACCATGTGCAATTTCAATAGGCACATCTGAGAAGAAATTTTTTTATGCAGAAACATAGGAGTAAAGGTCTGTTTTGCAAAAACATTACATGTTATCAACAATGTTCAAAATACATGTTTCCAGAGAACCATGGAACAGCTAATATTAAAATAAATTTAGATGCTATGAATCAGCTGAATTATCAGTGAGAACCCTATTGCCATTTATATGTCTGATTTCCCTGCCTAGAAGCCTGATAACATTTGGTCAGTGTGCTAAGAGCAGCAATGCATTGCATTGCTGATAAAAAACTTCTCTGGAATACCTCATGTTCAGTTCCTCCCACAGAACCTGTAGGCAACCTTCAGTGTACAGAGTATCTAAGCAGTCCTCAAGATTACACAATTGATTTTTACAACACTTCTCTCACTACATAATTTAGACTTCTTATTTCTTGAACAGATGGACTACAAACAATAAGGATTACAGTGATGACAAGATGCATTTACTTTCAAATCTGAATTACATGCTATCTGTAAGGTACAGCATCATTATAAAGATTTATATAGCTGAGTGAACACTTTATTGTTGACTATTGCAAGAAAATGAACACAGTATCAGTTTCCTTAACAAGAGGACTAATTCAGTAATCATTATAAGCTTTATATAAACACTGATGAAAGATAATTAAAATAACTGTAGTAAATGAAGTGAGAAATACTGTTAAGAAATGGGAAACAGAGAAAATTATTCTGTTTTCCCTTTGTTTCTTTCCTGTAACTTAAAACCAGTGAGTTTTGTTTCAGCTTGCTTATGAAAAAATAGCAGTCTGGGCATTGATTGTTGCAAACAAAAAAGGAGTTTTACAGAGTGTGTAAGAAAAAAATCCCTGTGCTGGGTCAAACTAAACATCATTCTGGAGTTGCATCCTGTCTCAGAGCAGTCACTTGCCAACACTTCGGGAAAGCGCACAAGAAACAAGCAGGTGCAAAGTAATCTCTCCCAGGCTGCAGCAAGTACAGCACTGACTTACCTTGGACAGGAACAGTTCACCCATTCTGGGGCACTCTCCAAAGGTGAGGCTCCCTTTCCTGTGAACGTGGTCACAGTGGGCAATACCACAGGTAAGTCTTCATAAGGCACAGGAACAGTGCCACATGCCGGGCAGTGAATGATTGGAATGGGCGTTCCCCAGTACCGCTGCCGAGATATTAACCAGTCTCTCAATTTGTCACTCGTTAGGTCTCCACCTATTTTTTTCTTTTTGGCCTGCTGAGTAATAGCTTCTAAAGCCTCCTGCCGAGTCATGCCAGTGATCTGATTGAAAAACAAAACAAAACAAAACAAGTGACATAGAAAAAGAAAGAAAAATCTTTAGTTGCTATCAGTGAGAGTGCAAGAACAAACAAAACCAGTTTTCTGAGAACCAAAATAATAATTTCACTCTTACCACTGGTTAACATCCTGCTATCCAAGAGGCTATTCACATACCAGCTGCTCATTTGAACCTTCTTGCTTAAAGGATTATGTTCTTTATGGTCTGAATAGAAGAAGACTAAAAAAGAGTCTTGTAGACCCCTTCAACCATTATTGGCAGATATTTGAATTTACTGCTGATATCTTCATCGGTTGCTGTATGCCAAAACTTTCAGAATTCTATGATGAACATAAGGTAGAGACTGAGGAAATGCAAATGTTCGAACAGCTTTCCTTCTCCTGTGCTCATTTCAGGTTTTTCTATTCTTGCTTTCACATACTTTTTAACCACTTAGACCCTACCCTGCTGTGGACAGGATTTCTGAGCTAGAGAGAAAATTTAGGCCTGTCAGAGGCTCATCTGTTTCCAGGGAACAGTTCCTAGGAACAGTTTTTCTCTCCAGAATTGTTATTGTAAAGAGGTAATTTTTCTCCTAACAATAAGAACAGACATCCTTGATGTGTTTTCTGTGGTCCCACCAATGGGGACAAAAGGGGGTGCTGTTCCTTCCACCAATCAGGGTAACCTGGCTGGAAAAACTATATAAGGTTAGAAAACTTTGAAACAAAAAGCTGAAAAATTGACCTTGGTGGTGTTCATGCTTGGACCTGCGCCTGGTATTTCATGTCCTCTAGCAACACCCAACCACTTAGACATAATGTGTCGGCTACTAAAACACACATTTTCAAGACCTGTATCTAAAGATAAGATTCCTATGTCTCTTGAGGCATTCATGATACCACAAAGGCTGAAGCTGCATTTCAATGAATTTGTGGAAGAAGGACTAGTATGTTCATGTTTAGGTTAAGAATCTATTGAGATTATGAAATAAGAATCAACTTTAACATAGGTTAAATTATTCTGTTTCCTTTATAGAACTGAGACTAATACAGAGGAAAGTTCAACTTTCCTCTCATGTACAAAAGGAAAAACTTATTTTACTGCTACAGTAGAGACAATGTATTTAATCATTAAATTATTCCCAGAAATTTGGTAGCATAAGCTTGGCTTGATTTAAAAAAAAAATAAAAAAAATCTTTAATAATTCAAAGTATTTGGCACTCTTGAGAAAACAGACTTAATTTGCTTTGTTACCGTAAGCTGAAAAGAAATCCATACATGTATACCTACCTCTGCAGAATTAATGATCTTCTCCAAACCATTTGGAAATGTCTCAATAACTTCAGTGAAAGAAATACCCAGATTCTTAGCTATTGCAGCATCTTCTGCACTAGTACTAGGAATTCCTAGAATGGATGAAAAAAACATTTCACTGCTATGGCAGTCACTTTATAATGACTTACGTTTTCCCAAAGGACTTAAAGAAAATGATTAAAGAATAGTAAAAATGTTTTTTGTATTCTTTAAGTAGTGAAACTGAAACAGCAATAATTAGAAATATGTTTCTCAATTCCTCTGTAATTCAAATATTCATCAGTGTCCTGTCCTTCTTTCAGAAAAGTTTGAAAATTTGATGATTCTGAAAAAACTAAAAATAAAGCTATAAAATTTGGATAGAATTATAGAATTTTCAATATAACCATATTATCTAAATATAATATATTTAAACACTACAAATTTTAATTCTATTTGCTAATATGATAATCAAAGACTAAACAAAGAGCAAAGTCTTCCTGTTTCAATATTAATTTAGCTCTAATTTCATAATTTATTAAAATGTACCATAATGCAACAGTCTCAAACATTACTATCCGTTTAACTTACTATGAAAAACATGATTTGTTTATAAACTCAGGGAAACAATTCAAATAACATCAGTTTGAAATTCAGACTATAACTAGTAAGAACACTTCCTACTGATATTCAGATGAGTTACACAAGTCTCACTATTTAAGGCTCCCAATGCTCTCTTTTCCTCTGTGTTTTATTATTTGGGACAGTCACACATTTTAATTCTGAGGGTTACTTGGAGGGTTACCTTTCACAGTGAGTTAAGAAATTTCTTGCTTGCTTTATTATTACATGTATTCTGAAATAATATTAAGATGCTAACATTTATTATTTACACAGAGCTACATCTTCCTGCCTATTTTTCCTTTTCAATGATAATTTAATTAATAATTTGAACCATCTTGCACAATTACTGTCATTGTTAAAAGGAAAAGAAACTTATTCCAACAAGACAATGCCAACATTAAGTTGGTGAAAACTACATACAGAAATTCTCAAAATATTTGCTGAGCACACTGGAATTATTAACTAAACCAGCTTAACAATCACTGCTTAGTTCAGGCAGTGAAATGCCTGCTCTACTTTAACTCTGCCAATATGTGGAAGTTTGGAAGCAGATGACTGAAGAAAATCAAACAAAACTCCCCTGTGACAAGTAACTTCTTAACTAGAAAAACACGAAATTGCTATTTTATCTTTCCAGCAGATGTACACTCTTGCCATTTCAAGAACAATATTTGTATCTTAATTTGTCAGAAAGCCCTGCAGTCTGCAACAGGTGACTTCACAATATGCTCTAAGAATGGAAAAAAGCATGTCCCAGTTTTCGGTCTGCTTCCTTTAGAAAAGATGATGCTATTAATGTACACTGGCAAAGCTCAACAGCTGGCACCCACAGCTTCCCATGAAGAGCTGGGCTGTTTCCAACAGACATAAGGCCAAAGTATGTGCCAGCAAACTGGAATATTTTAAGGAAAAATGAGATTAGGTATTTCAATCATTTGGCTTCTCCTGTATGAGGAAAACCTTTGTTTCTCAAAACCAGATTAAAGTCTAAAACATAAGATGCAGGTATGCTTAAGCAAGGTATACAGCCCAAATAGATAATTTCCATCAGGCTCTTGAGGGTCATCCAAGACATTTTTGCACAGTCAGCAGGTTTTATTCAGCCCAGTTGTGCAAAAATAGCCAATATTGGCAGCAGTGAAAGCAGCAGCCCCAGGACAGGAAAGAAGTATCAGCAACAGGGAGGTAACAACAGGAGTTAAGGGATAAGGAATGCACTGGAAAAAGGGAAGAAGACATAGTAATCCCATTAGGACTAGAACAGAATATTGCCTTCTCAATGCAGCCGAGACCACGGCAAAGCACAACAGTAAACAAAGAGCTTGGTGGGTGCAGATTAAAATGGACATGGTTTTTAAAACTAAGCAAAGTTTCTACTTTGACTTATTAGTACAACCATATTATCTAAGAGTATGTACTTAGCTGCCCAGTTTGGGGGACCAGGCTCCATATCCAGAAAAGGAGTAAGACAGGCAGCTTCATAGGACAACTTTGAGAACAGAAGCTCACTGCAGGTGATTCAGCATCCTCCAGCAACACCCTCCCCCTTCACCTATGGATCCTCAACTCTAAATCAGGTGCCTTACATTATGGGAACGCTACCTTGAGAGAAAAAGGATCTAAGATAACTCTCCAAGACTACCTGAAAAAAATTATTACCTATCCTGAACTACTTTACTAACCTCAAAACAAGTATTACTAGATAAAAGTCTAAGTTGGAAGTTTTGTACATTTACCATCTGAAGCATTTCTCTATAAGGATGTACATAATTAATGCAAACTTAAGACACACAAAAAAAAGCCAAAAATTAGGGCTGTTTGTCAAAAAATGGTACCATTCTGTTTTGATTAAGGATGGTGAGAGACAGCCAAACACATATGTTGTAGGTAACCAATTTTCTGAAGATATGCAGATCCTCAAACTCAGCTCATTAAACGCACTAATTTTGTATTTCCATTTAAAATTATCATCCTGCAAATTTCTTCACCCACATAGCTCCTTTTCCCTTCCTTCTTACCTAATGAACAACAGAAATCCAAAATCTGGGAGAGCGAACCTCTGTGTTCAAATATTTACCACAACAAGTATCTTGTGCTCCAACACAGCAACTGAAAACCATACTATTCCACTTACATATCTAACATCACATACCTATTTTAGTATCAAGAAAATTATCAAAATTGGTTTTTGCTGAGATGACTACAGGAATCTCCTGATTGGTAAGCAAATTCACAGCTGTCACTGAAGTAAGTGAGTCTGAAAACAAATGTAATGATATGGTAAATAAAATAGAAGATATGCTAAGAACATCACTTACCATTACAATACAGCTAATCTTAAACTTACATGAATTTTAAATAACAGTTTTCTTTAAAAAAGAAAGAAAATTACAAACCTATTCACATTTCAAAAAAGTTGAGATGCATGAAAATGCACAGTAAGTCAGATTGGTAAATTTTCATGATTAGAAAACATACTTATAAAAAGCACCTGTATAAAAACAGAGTAGGATTTTGATTATAACATAAAAATCGAGTCTTTGATCAAAATACAGGCTGCTGCAAAGTTGTATGGATTTGTTTTAGTAAGCCCTGGTTTATGTACTAGCATACAATGCTACAAAATCCCACCAAAAATCAGATAAAACTGCAGGTGAGCATATATCCTTATGATTTAATTTCTAACAGAAGAACTACAAAGCATGTGAAATCTTTTTTTTTTTTTCAACCTGTGTTAAAAAGCCACCTAAGTAATCTACTTTTTTCCAAACAGGGCATTCATATTCATATTACAGATGAGGAACCCAATGTCCACAAGCAAGGGGAGATAGGAGAGGAGAGAATTACGAGTAAGAACTAACGAACTGAAACTGATTTACAATATGCAGATTGGGTGGCTCAGCAAGAAAAAAACCAAATCTGAACACTACAAATTTTGAGGATTTGAACCCCAGATCTCAATTTGGGCCAATTTCTAACTTTTTCAGAGCCTTTAAGTTGATGATAATTTCAACCATTAAAATGTGGGCTGCTAAGAGCTTCCTTTCACCTTTCTTCAAAGCTAAGCTGAGGCTATGAAGGCTTCTATTGTAATGCATAAAATCTGCTTGAAGTAAAGTAACTGCAATTTTGAGAACAGGGCTGTTATATCTCATCATGCTTCTTAACACAAATGATACGTTTATTTATTTCTGATTACTACTTTTTCAAATTTTAGGTATCTGAGGTATTTATATTATACAGAAAACTTCCACATTCAAACCATTGCACACACAGCTTTCCTCTGTGTAAAAAAAATACAAAAGGGACAATTTAATTTTTTAAAAGCAACTAACCAAAAAGCGTCATGAGCAGGAAGCTGAGTGGGCAGGACACTGGTTTTAAAAATAACTTCTCTCTTCCACCCAGCAATAATTTTCATTTTATGCTGGAACCCAAAATAATAACTGCAGTTTATGAAGGTGCTCTTTCCTGAGCTCATTTGCTCACATCATTATTATAACTGAATAGAGAGAATGGTACAGGTACAAATGTAAGACGATGTATGCTGAGTATTATAATGAGATAATGAACAACATAATGGTCAAATCTTTATCTCAGGCACCTCCTGCTGTCAAAACTATTAGATTTGCCAGATTCTAAATTAACATATATTTTTGTAGGTAAAAAGAAAAAATTCAATGTTTGACAACTGGTTGTTCCATCTATTTAAATAATAGTAGCCTAAAATAAAGACATGCAATTCAAGACTAAAGGTTTTAGAACTTTCGGTTACTCTGCTATACAATAGCTTTTTTTTCTCTTCTAGAGAACACAAAAAAAATAACCTCCTAATTATTTAAATGAGAACACAGTGATGAAAGAGAATTACAAGACTATGCCCATTGAAAAGAAAACAATTATACTTAATTAAATTAAAATTTCAGTGTTACTGAGGGTTTTTTAAAAAAAAGTCTTGGTTAATGTGAAAATAGGGTTTGTATAAGGCCATCCAAAATTTCTTTTCATTTAAATGCCATTGTTGGCCTTTCATATGTAAAATGCCAATCTCAGCTAATTTCAACTGAAGAATGTCTGTAAGTATATTCACAAGTAGCACAAGTATACAATAGTAGAGTTATGTGGAATTGTGCCTCTTTTTTGAGGACTTTTGGCTGTCATTTTTCAGCTGAGAGTTTCTTAATTTAACTCAACCAAAGCCTTTGAGCTTGTTGTTAACATACACACAAAAAAAGCTTTGCAAGAATTTCCACTTAAAAACAAATATAAAAATATACCATTGTCCTTATTAAAAGCAAATTTTGCACTTTTGTGATTTGGCTTTAAGCATGGACCCAACGAGGTACAGACATATGCATGAACATTGTGTTTGTGCAGTTACTGCTTTGATTTGGTTCAACTGCAAGAACTGCAATTTTGTTCTCAAAAATTCTCCAGGCTTTGCTCACCTCTTAGACAAGGGCTTTATGTACTCAACACAGTCAGGCTTCATTTTTTTTTTTCAACTAGCAAGCAGATTTTTAAAGGTAGAAATGAAGTACTTAAAAAAGCAGGTTCTGTACAACCAACACAATTTCCCACAAGATGCTGTTAAAATCAGATGTTATATAGACAATGAAGCCTCATCTTTACCAGTAAGGAAAAAAGAAAATACTGAACACCAGCCTGAAGTAGAAACAAAAAATATTCTGTTTACTCTTGTCATTTCCATGTTTTCCAAACAACAAAAAAATACTAGATCACAAATATGATGTCACAGATGCCAAATACAGGCAGAATTGGAGGTAGAAGACTTCAGGAAAGCAGTTAAGAACAATTAAAGCATTATCAGTTGACTGTGTAAGTCATGACTGCCATAGGGATACTCTGAATTTACTCCACTAGAGTCCTATATTAACTAAGGATCTGCATAGTAGAGTATTATTTTACTATCTATCAGTGATTCACTTTGCTATGTATTAGTGATCTATTGACCACTTTAGATTGCTTATGACAGGAAGAAATCTTTGCTGGTGCATGAATTAGTTCTGCTGTCTTTGTACTAATGACAAATTACCACAAAGACATGAGACTTTCCAATGGGCTGACACAGTCAAATTTGGACTATTCATTTGTGATAGACAAGGAAACAAGAATATCTTCCATTGCTTTTATATACTATGAAGTGTTACAACTATTATAAAAAGAAGAATTCTAGCATAGCTGCTCTTGCCACATCTGAAGCCAGGACAGGCTGCTGTGACACAGTGTGACATATAGCAAGAATCAAAGGCCTGCTAGCTCTCAACAGGAACAGCTCCTGCTCAGCTTGATACACATTCTCCAAAGATCATTCTCTATAACTGTTGCTCTTCTACAACAAAATGCAGTACAAGAAAAATACCACCTTTCCCTGGGATTAACTCCCTCTGAAAGACTTCCTTGAAACTGCTATTCCCATGCAGCAGTCTGTGAGTTGGTAAGATACATAAATGGGAAGCTCCATAAATGGCTTCAGGTGTATAGGTGTAAGCTGCTACCTTCTCTTCTGTTACTTTGCCATTAACCTGAAAAAGAGCAGAAAAAAATTCCCACTGGAAGTGCAGTGATTATAGATTTCCCTTCCTTTCCAAACAGCTAATGAGTCTATATCACCCTACAGACATACACAGATCCAAATACCAAAGCCAGATGCATTTGCACTACAGAAATTTTCCAGAATCAAACCTTGACAAAACTTACTTTTAGGCCTTGAGAAAGTTGCTTTACAGTCTTGCCTTAGTTTTTTCAAATATATCTATGAAATATAATTCTAATCCCATATGTAATATTGCACTGTGCTACTGAGATAGACTCAATCCCTGGCTAAGCCACCCAGAATCCTTCTATTCACTTTTAATATGCATGCCTTGTTTCCAAGAAACTGGAAGGAGATGCTACCTCTGAAGTCTAAAGAGAATTTAGGATTTTCTCAGCTACAATATGACTTTATACCATATTTCTCTGATGAAGTGAATGCTGCAACTTATGTACAGAAAGAAACAATTGCTAAAACCAACTTTGATACAAAGTAATTTATAGAAATACAAATACAGTATCTTTTAGCAAGGTGCAAATCAGAGGTATTTAAAAGGTTTAATTTGTCTCAATTTTAAGTTCTAAAGAATTCAGTACTTTAAAATAAGAAGTCACTTTTAGAATGTTAGACCAGAGTAAATATCAGTACTTTAAAATAAGAAGTCACTTTTAGAATGTTAGACCAGAGTAAATAATCACAAAGTTTTGAAGTACAAGGGCTGAAATTCAATCAGGGTCTCTGAAAATCTCTTCTGTCACTACCATATTCATGGAGGCTTTTTCATCTCTTGACAAAAAAGGGGAAAATCTGAAGTCTTTCTGTAGATAATGATAAATTTTTTTTCAGGTTTCTTTTCCCTTCCTCTCCTTTCTTTCTATCTAGACTTCTCTGTAGCACCATCACTACCTAATGGTGTGGTTTCCATTATTTTAATTATGGTATATGGTAAGTGAAATAATGGACAAATGTAAGCTAAGCAGCTTGCCTGAGGTCAGCCTGGTTCTGACAGAGAAGGTGACATGCAGAGAAAAGCAAAAGCCCAACTAGATCCTAACTGACATGTGCAGTGCTACTTGATAGTGCACTTGGCACAAATGTTCTGGCTTTTAGGGAAGCTTATTATCTGGCATATATTTTGGCATAAATATACACAGCCAATTTACATCCATTTGAACACACAAACCCTTCCCTAAGGAGGATAGCAGGGAGTATCTCTTCAACCCTCAACTGGTGTTCTTCAGGAATCTGTGCAGGTCTGTGCATTAATATAATAATAATCCTTTTTAGGAGGCTTCAAGCTTTTCAGATCTGAAAATCCAGTCCCATCACACATTTCAGGAGCTGCAGCTAGCCCAACCAAGACAGCATGAAATATCTGACTTACCTTTAGCAAGAAGTCAAGAGAGCACCCAACGCAGTCACCTATCCAATTTGCTTGCATTTCTTTAATACCATACCACTCAGGGAGATCAGATAAAGCATCAAACATGGCCTTAAGCAACAAAAGAAAGAATTAGAACATTCAGCTTTTGTAAGCATACAATGGTTACAATGGTTATATGTATGGGTTTAATTATAACTAACAACAAAATGTTAAGGTTTTGGTAAAAACACTTGAGGAGGTAGCTTTATACTGCTGCTACCTCAAATTAATCTCTCTGAGAATAGAACTAACATGGTACAAGCCAGAGGTATGTCACTGCTAACAGATACCTTGTTATTAAACGTGGCCTTTTTTTTGAATGGACTAGACCTTAAGATACAGGAACAAAAAACCTAGATGAAAACAAGCACAGAAAACATTCCCAGTGGTTTTAACTTCTGGGAAGTGTAGGATCACTGAGCTGAACAATACTTGCAGATATGAAGCCTACATTTGGATTAGTGGTTTTAGACAATAGCCTAGAGATGGCAGTCAGACCAAAGGTGTCCTTTAAGGTGACATGTCCTAAAATTTTCAGGCTCTGACTTAAAATAGCATGATAGTTTCTAGATATCTGTTTTTTTATATTTGGTATTGATATTTTACCAAACACAACAGGCTGTAAAATGGATTGGGTTCTTTAAGTTGTATCATCCTGCAAAAACAACACTAAGCCTAATAACAAAGGTTCATATTCAAATCAAAAAATATACATAGTATTATAATAATATAACTCCTATAAGCAACCAGCAGTGAAGCTGGATTTAGAGGTATCAAGGGTCTATAGCAAGTCTTAAGCAGAGTGGCTGATGCATCTGGGGATGTTTAGGCTGGAGAAAAGAAGGCTCAGGGGGGACCTTATCACTCTCCACAGCTGCCCAAAAGAAGGCTGCAGTGAAGTGCAGGTCAGCCTCTTCTCTCAGGTAACAAATAACGGGACCAGGGGAAATGGTCTCAAGTTGCACCAGGGGAGGATACTAGAAAAAATTTCACCAGGGAAAGGGTTGTCAAACATCAGAACAGGCTGTCCAGGAAAGTGCTCGGGTCATCATCTCTGGAGGTATTTAGAAGACCCATAGAAATGGTGCTTAGGGACAGGCTTTACTGATGGACTTGGCAGTGCTGGCTAAATGGTTGGACTTGAGGATCACAAAGGTTTTTTCCAGCCTAAGTGGATCTATACTATGCAGCAGTGAAGAAATTAAGTGTTGCATCCTTTACTAGCCATAATGTCCAATAGCCAACTTGTAACTTCCATGCATATTTGCACTCAGCAAGAGTATATATATATATATACACACATATAAATATATAAAGCACATATATTTATGTGCATTCTGATGTGTGGAATGGAAGCATAAAAGTCTATTCCGAGTCAACTAGCATTTGTCTAAAAAATTTGAACAACATGATTTTAATCAATGGCATCTATAACAATGTAAAGGAGAAGACAGACAGATAATTTAAAGTTCATCTAATTTTTCACTTTGTAACACTACGTATTTTTGTTTTCAATACTGTGACTGTCCAAAATCTTTACTTTGGCAGAAGTACAGCCAGAGGCATGAGTCACTTGGACAGATGGTGAATATGCTGAACAATTACAGTCAAAATCGAAGAATAAGGCAACATGTTGAATAATTTCTCCTTCAGCTGTGACTCCCAACATCAAATGTGCAAGCTCTTTATTATCTCAGTAATTACTAACAACCTGCAAAGATGGACAGTCACTACCATGTGCTGCTCAAACTAAACAGTAGGTAGGTGGATAATTAGTGAATGCACACTTAATTCTTCTCCAAGAATGCATTTCAAGTTCTGTTTTAATGACATTCTTAAGTAATTTCAAAGTGAGATGCATAACAGTTAATATAAGAATTACTTTTTTAGTTACTGCTCTGTAATATATCTGTCATTTGAAATACAACAAAAGGCATTTTGTAAATGGTCCTTTGTAAAGTATAACATTATACCACCACTTGGGATTTTTATTGCTTTCTACATCTTTAAGAATAAAAACAATTTATTGATTATTATAAATAAAATAATGTTAGGCATTTGGAGGGGTTTTTATCACACTCTATCTTTAATCTCCTTTAAGTCACAATTGCAAGCATACTATACCACAGAGAATTCAAAGTTCTCAATATTCTCATTAATTTCACTGTTCCAGAGACAACTAAGCTTTATCTACCATGATCAATCCATGTACTTATATAACTGTGAAAGAATAATGAATAATTGGAGATACATAGAGATACACACACAAAATACCTAGATATAGCCTTTGTAAGAACTTTACGCATTTTAGAAAGAATGAAATTGTGTCAGTACACACAGAACTGGCTCTTCACATTAGTTATCCATTCTGATCTACATCACATTTTGCTGGCAGAAGCAGCTAACTGTGCATGTGTTCTACTGAAACTGTACAGTCTGTAACTGTTTACCAGCAAAGCTTCCTAGATGTTATTTCACTGCAGTCTTCATATACCAAGATTGTCAATACCAGTGGAATAATGATTTTACTCTAATTCATTTGCCTTATTAGAAGCTACAGGCTACAGTTTGACTTAATCCAGTTCTTCTCTTGATAATGCAATTACTTCATGCAACTAAATGCAGGAAGAGCCAACTTTACTTCATCTGAATGAAGATAACTAAGCTTAATCTGCATGATGCAGCCTAGCAGGCTTTTCAAACACAAACCCTTTATAAATTAATTTATACATAAGCAATTTAGTCTGATACGAAACAAAAACCCCAAGCAAACAAAAAAACTTTAAAAATGTTCAAAATGGACTTATGATTCTCAGTTCTTTGTACTCAACACACTCCTTAGGTTTCTTGTCAAGGCTACGAAGAGCAGGTGAAGCAGAAAATGAACATGCAAATCACAATTTACGTGGGGTTACAAAGGCAAATAATACATTGTATGCACACTGCTATCATGTTAGTGTGTGTTTTGGAATGGTAAATTAACCTAGGATACTCACTAGCAGGAAAGTAGACAAACATTAATTCTTACACATGTGAATTCATTTGTACATTGAAAATTCATCTGTGCAAACTAGGACCTTTTAGAAGATAGCTTAAGGAAAACCCTCTAAGAAAGCCTTTCATTTTCAAATCCAGTTGCACTGCACTACAAAATACATGCCCACAAGTACATGTTAAAACTATTATCAATATAAAAAATTTACATGTAGACTATTTGAGCATACAAAACTCTTGACCGATACTAGCATACAAATTCCTGAATATTTTAAGTTTGTATTTGGGAAGTTAAATATTAACTCCGCTTAATTTTGCTTCCATGTTCTTTTTTAAAAATCACTGCCATGTCCAGTAGAACATTTTCTGAATCATTAGAGTAGTCCCATGAATTCTGCTCCAATTTTAATTTTGCAATTTTCCAACCCTGGTAGTATTCAAGGGCAGGGTGGATGGGGGCCTTGAGCAACCTGGTCTAGTGGGAGGTGTCCCTGCCCATGGCAAGGGGGATTGAGACTAGATGATCTTTAAGGTTCATTCCAACACCTTAACATTCTATGATTCTATAATTATTGATAATTTCCATTAAAAAAAAATCGTATCCTTAAAAATGTGCATATAACTTCTAGTTTTTTCTGCCACAAATTTGTTAACTAGATTTGTTAACACAGAGAAGACAACCAGCAAGAAGACTCCCAGCACAAAGGCAAATAAACAAAAGTAAAACCATGTTGGAGTCAGCAGGGGACAAAGAACAATAGAAGCATTTCAATCCAGTAAGCAGAGAGTGATAAGATTATCAAATAAACTCATTTTTCAAATTTCTGATGATAACTTGACAGTAAGAAATTTGGAAACCCAAAAAAAGAAAAAGAAATTATGTAGCAGTCTTTCTGCTTTCATTTTTCATTACTTGGGAAGAGACAAGAAAACTTCAAATGCAAACATCTAATTACAGGAGAAATTACTCCCATTTTAATTAAACACAAGTCAAGGAATAGCATAAATACATTTTGGCAGCCTTTCAAATCTAAAGATAGACAGACTCACGCAAAGCTAAAGAAATCAAAGTTGTGTTCAGGGATGAGAATGATTTAAAGGCTCTTACACCTGAAGAAGTTGGAGATTGAGAATAAATCAATGTTTCATGGACTTCTTTACTCCTTCAGAACACGCAGAAAATTCTGGCACAGCCAGAAGATGAAAGCCAACTACCTCAGATGATCAGAGAGTAACTAAATCAAGATAAGTTTGCTGAAAATTCATCAAAGACGATGATGACCAAGCCTGAAACTAGAAATAACACATTGTATGTGAAAAACTTGTCTCGTATTTCTAGCTGTTTAGTCTGCTGAGGATTATGACAGAAACAGAACTTCAGCTAAGCAATTTTCAGGCAAAAAAGATCCAGAAAATCCAAGAACGTAAGAATTTCCCAAGAGCATCTCAACTCCAGAAGTCCCCCTGCTTATAGTTCAAAGAAGGATTCTGCTGAGCCCCTAAGAAATTCAGTCTCTGACTTCAAGAACTAAAGTTTTTACTAGATCAATACCTGCTACTGATTTCACACTTAGAGTAATTTAACTCCTCTATGATAGTAAACGAAATAAAGTGAAAAATCTAAATATAAACTATATAGTCAAATGCATACACTTTTTTTAATGAAGGCACTTCAATGAAATTTGACAGATCTGCAAGGTAACAACAATATCAGAATAAAAAAATCAGCAAAAGGTTGCATTTCAGAATAATTCAATTAATTAGCAAAATAAAATTGCATTCTACTAAATTACAATAAAATTTAAAAGCTTTTCTTCTGAGGAAGAGTCAAATAAATATCCAACCTCTGTTTGGATTTTAGTGAAATTCTTCACTTTATTTGATTGAACTCCCAAAAGAGCAAGCAAGCGTAAACTAAAGATTACATGAAATCATTTAATACAACTAAATATATTAACATATATTAAAGTACAAGAAATTAAAGCTAGGCTGCCCACTGTTTTATTTTGCATTCTATTGCACTGTTCCAACTGAGATTATATGGTACAGCTGGCATTTAATACCTTCTTGTTTTA